AGCTATATATATATGTATATGCAAAGTAGCTCGTGTTTTCGGTTGACTGTCACTTTAAAGACGTGAATTGTTATATAATTTAAATAGACTACAATTAGATAATGAACTGCCCCGCAAAAACTCTACATAAACAATATGTGCAACATTTCATTGTTTTTATGTAGATTTATTTACGTTAACGTTACACGTGTCTTTAATGGCAGTTAATAAGCACCTTCGTCGTCGTGGAAGCTCAGCAGACTCGCTTTAGGTTCCTCTCGGTTCTCTTTCTTTCTCTTCTTAAGGTCTTTGTTGACCTTAACAGCACCGGGCTGAAACCCGTTTCCGTGGTTATTCAGCATGTTTGCTCCAGGAGCGGGACCAGTGCTCGACTCGTTGGGGTTCACCGACTCTTCAGCCCCGGGCCCGCCGGTCTGCTGGACCTCCTCTTTCTCCTCGTCGTCCGATTCATTCCTCCGCCTGAAATTGCACCTCTTAGCTTTCTTAAACATGGTTATGTAGTGTGCAACGCCTCTAGGATAGTATATAAAGACAGATTTTTAGATTTTTGCAGGGTGCCAAGGATGATAACAAATCCACCATTTTGCTTTTGCGGAAACGTTTAAGTACCTCTGTGAATGTTATATTTGCAGAGCGGGAACTCGTTGCTGCCATCTAGAGGAGAGGTGCCATATCAAACAATTTGAGAAGGTTCCGTGTTTGTTTGTTTGTGACAACCTGTCACTCACATGAGATTATAGCAATATGATCCAATCAATTCCCGATTAACAAAATTCCCCCCACTATATTTTTGCATTGCTTTTGGAACTACATTATGGCATATCTGTTCAATAAAATACCACACTCACGATATTTAGACTAAACGCAATCCCCATGTCGCTTTTACAAGATTGTTCTCGCCATCTCCGAAAAGAAAAGGCAATGTTGATTCTTGTTTTTGTCAAATGTGTTTGTCCAGCATACACATTGTGCAGATAGGCTACACTTCTGGTCAGTTCCACAGAAAACTTCTATTGGCCTTTCATGTTTGTTTTTTTCCAGTCGTCTGGTAGCTTTCATCAAATTGTGTCTCTTGTCTTAAAAAAAAAACCTTGTGCTCTTCAAGGTGCTTTAACAGTAAGAGTTCAGGCACATCAAGTAGGACTTGACGGCTCTGTGTTTTCTTCCACTACAGACGTTACATACACTCCACATCTTCAGGACCCGCATAGTGAGCAGAAGCAACAGATTGGAGTGTTTTCTCGTTCTGTTTCTCCATTATTTCAGCCAGAATGATGTTTTTGCTGACTACAGGTCTTGGAGTGAAGGTCTTTCTGCATTGGTAGACTCCCTTCTGATCATCTCGATCCCAGCAGATGATCATACAGCTGTGTCCACAGGGAAGGGCAACTGGATCCTTCAGGAGATTCAGACATAGGCCAACTGGACAGCAAAACCGGTCCGGAGCCACCGAAATACTGGCTTCTTCCATTTTACCATGTGCACAGTCACAGATAACTGCTGGACAACCTTTACCTGTCTCCTGGTTTAGTTGTTAAGAAAATAAAACTCTGTAAATCATCCAGTAGGGGGCGGATTGTATCACAGACTTGCAATGCTGAAATAAATGTAACCACAGGAAGTCGCTTTTTCTGAGAAAAAAAAAAAAAAAAAAAAAAAAATCATGCTTTCATAAATCATAAATATAAGATAAAATCAGTGTTTTTTTGTAACATTGAGATACTATTTCAGTTTTTATTAATATTTTGAATAAGTTTAGTTTTCTATTTTCACATTAATTTTAGCTTAATGTTGCCTTGGCAATAGCATAAATTAAACATTTTTCATGTATATTATTTATTTATTTCACTTGATGTTAATTTTAATTCAAGTAACATATTTTTTTGTGGTTTTAGTATTATTATAGTATAACTAAAATAAACCTACATAAAAGTCATAATTATAACATAAAAATTGAAATGTCAAAATGGTGAAATTATGAAACACGTCATTATTGTGTCATTTATTACTTTGTATCTCATAATATTGACTTTTGTCATAATTACGACTTTCTATCTCATTCTTATTGTCATAGTTTTGCCTTTTACCGTCAAACTAATGAATCAGTATATCATAATTTTAACTTTCATAGCTAATTTTTAACTGTCATAACTATGATTTACCAAATCATTTGATTTTATTCAAAATATTGTATTATTTTGTGGTGGTAATGGGTTTTTCATAGATTTATGACCCTAAAAATAACAGAAAAAAATATTTGAATTGTAAAAATTATTTGATATAAATGTTCTTATTAATAGTCTATTTGTGAGATTAGAGATTTAGCGATTTAAAAAATGTATGGGTGGCTTCAGAATTATTTATTTTATATATGCAATTTTATAAAATGATTTAGCTAATCATAAATGCACAGGCTTTAATAGCAGGTATTTCAGTTTATTATTCAAATTCTTACACTGACCCTCAAAAAAGCAATTGAAATGCAATGATGGATATTCAAGACATACATGTCTTGAATATCCATCATTGCATTTCAGTAGCTGTGTTTTGGAACATGATAGCTGCGGTTTCTAGCTGATCATTAGCTGGTGCAAGCTGGTCATTAACTGGTTGTCTAGCTACCTTGCTCCAAAACTCCTCTTGAACACTTTAAACTGGTGTGACCATCTAGTTTGTTCATTGCTTTTCCAAGATGGTTTACCAGTTTGCCCCATAATGATTGGTTTGAATTAGCTAATGACCAACAAGAAACTGTACAGTGAGCCTTTTCAGATGGATTCTTCCGGCAACGAAGGGCTTCCCATAAATTTCATGGGTGTGTAAATCCCTGAAGGCTGTCATCATGGCTCATGACTGGTCATCTTAAATTTCTTTGCTATCGCATAATAACGAGGGACCACACAGACAGAACGTTTCTGTTGAGAATCATTTGAGGACTCTGGCAAGGACATTTGTGTCCCTGAGACTATGGGTACTTTCTGGAACTGCTTGAGAAGCTTGAGCATCTTGTGTGCTGTGATAGCACAAGCGTCTGGAATCAACAGAACCTTCTACATTGGGATTCAAGAGGAAAACTGGAATTACGCACCGAGCGGCCAGAATCTGATAAATGGGAAACCTATTGCGGTGGATGAGTGAGATTCATATATATTCTTCATTAATTTGAAGTTATTATTCTGACTGAATATATATATACAGTATATCTATATATATATATATATATATATATATATATATATATTTAGATATATATTTAGATATATCACATGAGGTAATATATACCACATAGTACACAGAAATTTAGCTCACTGTGATGTTTTTAAATTACATTTCATTAATAAGTTTATTTTTCTTTACATCTTGTAGTTATGATATATCTTTAGACAATGGGAGGGATCCAGACATGCCTTCACATGAATCTTTTTGAGTCTTTTTTTTTTTTCTTTTTTTGTGGCATCCTTCCATGCATGGTGCACTTTTACTCTGTTCTCAACATAGCCTTTCTGTGGCGGCTCTCATGAGTCTCATGTTTACCCAGACAGTTTTGAGGATTAACTTTTTCTAGATAATATCTGGTCATTTGATATAGTTGTATTCAGTTGGATGAATGTATTTGATATAGTTTACTTGTGTGTGTGTGTGTGTGGGGGGGGGGTGGGGGGGGGTGGGGGGGGGTGGGGGGGGATTTAAATATTTGTTCATTTTTTGAGTCTCAGTAATTAGAAATACATTTCTCATTTAACAAAGCAGGTTATTAACACTTTTCAGTGAAGGATTTATAATTATCTAAAATTTCATTGTTTAATGATCAAAAAGATGAAAAATGTTATTCTACATTATTAAAATGCTCTTTACATTGAGAAAAAAGAAATAGGTTTTAGCAAGTAAGGTTTTGAAATGGCTCCTCTATGGCATTGCTTCAAAAATCTCCTTTAGTAATTGGTAAGTGTTATTTTGGTAAGTGTGCACTCTTAAAAAAATGTTCATAGAAACTTGACGGGTTCTGTCAGGTGTGGTGTTTCATAAATAGAACATTTTAAGGGTTCCCATCATGGGACTATTTTGTTTTAATTCGTTTTTAATTTTAATTAAATTGTATGAATTATTATCCTTATATAGAATAATTTTGGCATAAAAGGTTCTTTAAAATTGAGTCAAGAACCCTAAGGTTCTATACAGTACAACTGCACTGAACCTTTATAAGAGTGCAAACTTAAAAAGTTAAGTTACTTTGAATTTCTTATTTATTTTCAACTTTGAGTCCATTTTCAAATTTTTCCAATAATTTCCACCATTATAATTCCATTATAATAACAGTGGGAAAACAATAAAAAACTTATTTCTCATGGCCCAGGTATGCATCAGCATTTCTGCAGCGCAGGTCTCAGCGGATTGGCAGTGTGTACAAAAAGGCGATATACAGGCAGTACACAGATGCTTCTTATTCTCAAGAGATCCCCAAACCTACTTGGCTGGGCTATCTGGGCCCTATACTGAGGGTAGAGGTCCATGATATCCTCATTGTGCACCTGAAGAACTTTGCCTCCAGACGTTACTCCATGCATCCGCATGGTGTCTTCTATGCAAAAGATTCAGAAGGTAAACCCTCTTTCTCTCATTCATTTCTTAAATGCGCCAAAACATTATGACCACCTCCCTAATATGGTTTTGGTCCTACGCGTAATGCCAAAAACAGCACCCACCTGCCAAGACATGGACTACGAGTACCCTTAAGTTGTCCTTTAGTATCAGGAATATCCTGACCTTAATATATGGCCTTGTTAGCAGATGGTCAATGATATTTGCTTCACCTACTTGTGGCCAAAGGTGCCATTTTTAATTGTGTGGACTTCCTCCTGTCATCGAATCTTGTCTGCACTAGGTGCGCTGTATCCAGACAGAACCTCAGACACTCTGAAGAATGATGATGGGGTTCCACCAGGTGGAAACTTCACATATACCTGGACTGTAAAGCCAGGTTATGCTCCTCAAAAGGGTGATGCCAACTGCCTGACGTGGGCCTATCACTCCCATGTCAGCGCCTCACAAGACATTTCCTCCGGGCTTATTGGAGCCCTTCTCACCTGTAAGGAAGGTAAAGCAGACATTCTATAATCCTATTAATTCATAGCAAAACTAGCCCTATATTTTTATGAAAACATAGCCCTGAAAGGTAGCTCCCTTTGATATTTTTACAGTTAACTGCAAAGCATCTTAGACAAAGGTCAATAGGTGCATAGCTACTACACTCAAAAAATTTTTTAAAGAACCTGTTGAGCCCAGTTTGGTTCTTCAGTGGTTCTCTGGGGTGGTCAAGGTGCTCTATTACACCTATTATGGTTCTACATAGCACTATTTGATAAAGACAAGTGGCACTTAAAGTGGTTCCCCTATAATTACAAGCCAATGAACCACTTTTAGTGCTATATAGCAACATTTTTGTTTAGAGTGTACAATTACCTCTGGGATGAATTAAAAATTGAAGTTTTGTTAAGAATAATTCCTTGCATTTTTTAAGTTACACTTTCAGTAAAGGTCTTGTAAGTATCCTTGCATAATTGTTTAATGGTAAAAAGAAAAAAAAAAAAAGAAAAGTTTTTGCTCTTTTAATTTCCAGTACTACAATAATACTACAGTTGATAAATGTTATCATGGCTATTATGTTATTTAAAGACAATTTCCTAGTTTCTCCCTAAAATTAAACAAACATTTAATATAAATTTTAAAAATATATTTCAAATAAAAAAATGAAATGAAATGTGCCTTTGGATTTTTACCTCTGTTCTTTATTTATTTGTCTTACCTTATCCTTTGATTCCCAAATCAAAATGCCGGCCTCAGGAACCCTGCATGCTGTGTCCACTTCAGACCACCATCAAGTGCAACGTGCTGATGTAGAACAGGATCTAATCCTTATGTTTAGTGTAGTGGATGAGAACATCAGCTGGTACCTGAAAGAGAACATCCAGACCTTCTGCTCTGATCCAGATGGTGTGGATCCTGCTAGAGAAGATTTCCAGGAATCCAACATGATGCATGGTATGTATATACCAGACAATTAACTGTATGAACTAAAATTGTAGCTGTCCAGACATTAAATAAAAATTTAAAAAAAGTTAATTGTATGAAAATTCCTGAACCTATAGAACTGTTTTGTGAGATAACTAATGTAGCATACAGTTTGAGTTGTTACTTTTTTTATTATCCATTTTTAGCCATAAATGGATACATGTATGGCAACCTACCAGGCATTGAGTTTTGCCAAAACAGCAGAGTTGCTTTACATCTCTTTGGCATGGGCAACGAGATCGACGTTCACTCTGCTTATTTCCACGGACACACACTCCTAGACCGCGGGCACCGCGTGGATGTCCTGAGTCTGTTTTCTGCTACTTTTGCCACCGCAGAGATGGTGCCTACGACAATAGGGACATGGCTCTTGAACTGCCAAGTGAACGATCATCTGAAAGGTAAACTTTGAGGAATGTTCTTTGACGGGATAACATAATAAGGCAGTTGTAGTAATGGAAAGTAGTCCTGCTTCAGTTAAAAAAAGCTAGTTGGCTTTTTGATAGTTTGTTTACTTTAGAATGTGCATATGTATTAGTGTAACCCCTCATGTTCTACTCAACCCGCTCCAAGCAGGATTCGAACTGTGATCTCTGGCATGGGAGGTGGGCGAGCAAACAAGGACACTAAAGACCACAGTCTCTAGCGTCTGTCTCTAGCGCACCTCTTGAGGCCAGGGGAGTAAGGTTTATTCACACAGATCTTGCTATCTGGCATCAGTTTCACTCACCTCTCTAAATTCCCATCTGGGTCACTGCACCAATGTTACCCCTCCGGTTCTACTCGATCAGCTCAAAGCGGGATTCAAACCGGTGTCTCTGGCCTGGGTGGCGGGTGTTTTAAAAAGAGCACTAAAAACCTCGAATATGTTCCAAATAATATTTTATACTGGTATATTGCATAATATACCTATATAAGTGAGTATAAATTGAGTCTTCATAAATGAAAATATACACTGCTCCTGAGGATGATTGTATTTGGGGTTCTACTGCATCTAAAAGATTGAAAACCCCTGAATTAGACCACCCTTATACAGGATTTTTAGCCTTAGGCTAAAGTAATGTAAATACTTTGCGCTACCATTGTTGTCTTGATCAGTAAAATATATTAAAATATGCTTATATATCTTCGTTTGATATTAAGCTTTACATGCTGTCTACAGAAGGTTACAGGGCTCTTCCATGTTGTCTTCCACAGCTGGTATGCAGGCCCTGTTCAAAGTCTCGTCCTGCAGGGATAAGACAAACTCCACAGTTCCTCACAATGGGAAGATTAGGAAGTATTTCATTGCTGCTGAGAAGGTTCGGTGGAACTACGCACCATCAGGGATGGATAAACTGACCAATGAGTCGCTGACCAAACCTGGGAGGTTAAATATCTGATTATAATTCAGACATGCACTGCAATTAGTTTATGCAAGTTTTTGTTTTTTGACAAATTCTTGGTCATACTTAGCTTTTCAGAGGTGTTCTTCGGGATGGATCGTGGCCGACTTGGTGGAAAGTATTGGAAAGTGGTGTACAAAGAATATACAGATGAGAGTTTCACTTTAAAGAGAAAGCAAACCAGTGCCGAGACACATCTAGGCATTTTGGGTAAGCTTCTTCATGTGGATTTAAATAATTATACAACCTAGGTTAGATAAAAAGTTTCTTGAATTTGATCTAAACCTGTCTATCCCATTTACATCATGGTGTCTGTAGGTCCAGTTCTGAGGGCCGAGGTTGGAGACACCCTTCAGGTGATGTTTATGAATAAGGCTGACAGAATCTACAGTATCCAGCCACATGGTCTTCAGTATGACAAACCATTTGAGGGTGTCTTTTATCAAGATGGTGAGACTTATTTCACACCATCTGGCTAATAATGTGTCAATCAAAAAGTTTGTTTTTGTCCCAGTAAAATAATGTCTTAATGTATTGTAGGTATAAAGAGGAAAGGATATCAGGTTCAGCCAGGTGAAACATTCACATACAGGTGGCTGTTGAAGGAGGGACCATCTGAAAGTGACCCACCCTGTATTTCCTACCTGTACTTCTCCTCCAGTGATCCAGTCAGAGACACCAACTCTGGTCTCATAGGCCCCCTGCTGGTGTGTAAGAAAGATGCACTGAATTCCAATGGCGCTCAGGTAACATGAGAATCAAATGTGCATAATCAAATAAAAGGAGAGATTCAAAATAATATGTAACTTGTAACTGCGTTTCCTTAAAATAAAGTGTTCCAATTATATGATTGGCCAACATTACTTTTCATCTCTTGCAGAAAGATGTGGATCGGGAGTTTTTTCTGCTGTTTTCTGTGTTAGATGAAAATCTCAGCTGGTACTTGGAACAGAACATTGAAACCTATGACACCAATGAATCAGACTCAGAGGATTTGGAGTTTCAGGAGAGCAATAAAATGCATGGTATTTACACTCACCTTACTGCTGTCTGCCTGTGATATGCTTCATTTTGGTGTACATATCTGACCATTAAATTGACGTATTCGCACTGGGACTTATTTGTGATATTCCACCTGACCTGCAGAGGACAGCATGTTGTTCATTTTTTATATTTCTACAAACATGGATATCTTCATAACTCCATTTTGCCCCTCTAACATTCTTCTTTGGTTGTTTTTAATTGGTATTTTATCTTCTTCAAGCAGTTTATTCAGGGCACATGTGCAAACGACTTCATTCTGAAACAGATTCTGAAGGTTACAAATAATTTTACATGCATGCTATGCACAAGTCGTAGTGATAAACTGACAAATTAAGCATGTTTTGGGCTTAAGAATCAGAACCCCTTTTTAAGAAAGTTGTAATTGAAGACCCAGTGTAATGGTCAACTAATAATTTTAAAAATCAGCTGAAAGTTTCTAATTCCATTCAGGGTCCTTCTTACACACTCTGTTATTTTGTTTGTGTAATGCAGCTGTGAATGGCTTTATGTATGGGAACCTGCCTGGCCTTGAGATGAAGAAGGACTCCAGGGTAAGATGGCATCTCATGGGACTTGGCACAGAGATAGACATGCATGGTATTTACTTCCAAGGCAACACGTTCCAGAGACAAGGCACAACACGTGACACGCTGAGCCTGTTCCCACACACTGCAGTCACTGTGTCCATGCAACCAGATGTCAGTGGTCAGTGCCATGTTATTTCAGCAAATGATGTATATTTACTTCATTCTTCACTTTCGAATTGAAGACTGAAGCTCATAAAAAATGGGGGCAAAAACAAAAGTGCTTATAATTTTGTTCAGAGTATATTATAAACATTTTACTTTGTTCAATTCACATTGTGATTATGATTGCAGGTGAATTTGAGGTGAGCTGTCTAGTCTCTGATCACTATGTCGGTGGGATGAGACAGCTGTATAAAGTGAAGGGGTCAGGGAATAAGAATTCCTCAGTATTAAGGTCTCAGATAGTGGAGTATTTCATCTGTGCTGAAGAGAGGCAGTGGGACTACTCACCTGATCGTACCTGGGAATTGCAGAACTTCAACACGACTGAGGAGAAAAGGTAGATGCATGTTCTACAAAGTTTTGTTGATGTTGCAGCATTTGGATGGCTTTGGTAACCAGATTCTTGTCTCAGTCCTGGCAGTTTGTTTGTGGGGACAGGAAAGAACAGACTGGGCTCTAGGTATAAGAAAGTAGTTTATAGAGAATACACCGACGCCACCTTCAGGACAAGAAAACTGAGGCAGCCTCAAGAGAAACACTTGGAGATTTTGGGTGGCTAATCACAATTTCATTCCACCTTTATTTTTAAATATAGTTTTCCCACTTGAATGAACGAATTACTGAAAATATGTGTGTTTTATATTATAGGACCTGTAATTAGAGCTGAAGTTGGCCAGATTTTGCTGATCACATTCATGAATAAAGCTAGTCATCCTTACTCAATACAAGCACATGGAGTCAGAACCTCGACTTCTAAACCTGAAGCTGTCATCCCAGGTAGAGGAAGATGAAAATCCCACCATTTGACTCCATATTTCACCTGTAAAATATATACAAAGACACCTTCAGGGATTTCATAAAATGTGTTTTTTATACATTTTATATATATTTTTTTTATACACTCTTTATACATGTGACGCATCCTGTTGTGAATGCAAATTAAACTATTTACTGCAGGAAATACGACTCAGTACCAGTGGATGATTCCAGAGAAATCCGGCCCAGGTGTGTCTGATCCAAACTGCATTGCTTTTGCCTATCGATCAGCTGTGGACTTTGTTAAGGTAAAGCTCTTAGTTTTAATTCCTTAATTATTATTATTGTTTACATTCAGTCAGGAATTAAAATTGATTAATTGTGAACAAAAATAACATAAAAATAAGGTCCTAGTTGTAAATAATTAACATTAGTTAATGCATTATTACACATTAATTAACAATGAGCAATGCATTTATTACATTTTTTTTTTATTTGTTAACATTATTTCATAAAAATACAACTGTTCATTGTTAGTTAATGTTACCTCAGGTTCATTAAGTAATATTAACAGATACAACTTTTGATTTTAACAATGTATGGGTAAGATTAATACATTTTAATAGATACATTTTTAAATTTTAATTAATAATAGATTTTATATAATTAATATACTGTATTTTTCATTGTTACTTCATGTTACATGTTAACAGATTTAACCTTATTTTAAAGTGTTACTAAAATACTGCTATGTTCAATTTATTTTGGCTTTTGAAGTTGACAATAATAATAATTATTATAATACTTATTATATTACTACTACTTCTACATTCAGCCAGGAATTCAAAAAGATTAATTCTGAACAACAACAATATAATAAAAATATTATGGTTATAGTTTTTGGGTGTGTGACTGTGTGTGGCTTTTGTCATATGTTAAAGGACACAGCAAGTGGTCTGATTGGGCCATTAGTAATCTGCAGGAGAGGTGTACTGAACCAGGCCAGACAGAGAACTGATGTGGATAGAGAATTTGCTCTCCTCTTTATGGTGTTTGATGAGAATAAATCCTGGTACCTGGAAGAAAACATTCAGACCTACTATAACAGCTCAGAACCTCTTCTGAGAGATGCAGAGTTTCAGAAAAGCAACGAGATGTATGGTGAGTGGTCACAAGTAAATGCAACTCAACCCTAGTAATGCATTTTGATGTAAAATGCAACAAAAAAGTCAAATGATGACCACTTGAAGGCATTGTTTGATATATGATGGATTAATTATATGAGATTCACTATCCCTGTTTCACATAACAGAGTATAAATAAGTAGATAAATGCCAGACATAGGAAAAATAATCACTGTATACAATTCTCATTTTGTTCAGAGAATTACATGATTACAAACTGCATGTTTTTTTCTGTCACTATTGACAGGGATCAATGGGAAGCTCTATGCAAACCTTCAAGGCCTGGAAATGGTGGAGGGTGACAGGGTGATCTGGTACCTGTTTGGGATGGGCAATGAAGTGGACATACACACTGTCCATTTTCATGCTGAAACCTTCACATACAAGGTGCAGCAATGAGCATAACAACTATTATATATGGAATTATATTCACAATCAGATGCAATAGAATAACTTATTTTTCAATGATATTACAGCAGTGTGTTCTGTAGTTGTCATACACTAAATTATGTTTTATTAACAAAGTTCGGGAGGAGCATGTTCGGAAAATCGACCCAATCAGCACGAGAGGAGGCCTATATACTATTTATACACACTATATGCAGTTAGGGATGGGACGATAACCGGTTTCACGATAAACCGTGATAAAATGTACTGACGGTTAGTATTATCGTTTAAAATTTAATTATCATTAAAACCGTGTTTGATTATCGCGATTTTAATCACTCACTGAATCCTGTCGGCCAGTCTGACGCAGCACGCAATATTTTTTTAATTACTCTTCGAGAAGGAATGGTGGAAGGCAGTGACCATGCTCAGGAGATTTTTTAGCCTTTTAAAAGGACCAAATCTGAGGTGTGGTCATATTTTGGGTTTTACAAAAGTCCTGAAGGAAACTTGATCGAGGATGGTCACCCTGTCTGCCGAACAAAAAGTCACTGCAATAGAAACACTTCAAATCTGCCGAGTCGTCTTGTGTGATCATCACCCGAACGCAAGGCAAGTTAACTTTGACCTTAATACCAAAACTACGTCTGGGAATCAATTGGGCACGAAATGTTGTTTTGAGTTGAAACATTTTATGTCACTCACTTGAAATAGATGTGAAGCTTCCGCGAAGAAAAGTTCGTAGCAAGTGGATTTGAGCTAAAGACGAACGAATAACTTCAAACAAGACTATTATTAATAGTGATATTTTAAGGGTTAGTAAAGTATAGATACATCACATATTAAACCGATTTTATTTTTACCACATAATTACGGGGACATATTGAATTGATAATGAGATTAGCTAATGTTTTAAATCTTACCTGTTTATGAATTCATTTTGTAAAACAATCGTCCAGGCAAGATATATCACACCAATATTATCAAACTCTTTAAGCAATAATTTAACTCTGATTTCATTTTCGCAATACAATCAAAAACCGGAGACGCAAAGACGGCAAGTTGTATTTGAATGAAACAAGAGCGCGCGTCCGTTGTGATATGGATGTGCGCTGTGTAATAATGTGTTGCTATTGACGACGGGCATTATAAAAAAGCAAATGCCATAGAATAGAATCTTGCTTAAAAAAACTGCATAGAGATTTTATTTGTTGTTTGTTGATTTTTAATTATAAAACTTGTTGAAATGTTTTCAGTGTGAGTTCTTTTTGAGCACTTTCATAATTTTTTAACAAAACCGTGATAATATTGATAATCACGATTATTTTGGACACTATAATCGTGATATGAAATTTCCATACCGTCCCATCCCTATATGCAGTATGTAGACGACTCACCTCTGTTACACACCAGTTTTTCCAGCATCCCTCCAACACCCCTCCTCTCTTAACTGGATATGGGGGGAATACTCTGGGTTCGGGCCAAATTCCGAGCTTGGAGCCCTCCCCTATAAATACCCAAATATGCATATTCTTTGTCTGTACGTGTGAACTCGTGAAACCCAACCATTATAATGACTTAAACTACTTTTTCAGACAGATCAGGCTCACCGTACTGATGTGTATGACCTGATCCCAGGAGCATTTCAGACGTTGGAAATGGTGGCCGAGGTCAATGGAACGTGGCTTCTGCACTGTCACGTTGCCAACCACATCCGTGCTGGAATGGAAACAACATTTACCATCAAACCTCGATCAGGTGAGCTACAGCTTTAGGGGTTTATTGGCTTATGCTTTTATTGGTCTGTTATGCTTTTACTTTGATTCATAAAAGTGGACTCACCCGCTGTTTAGTGATGTGATGTTTGTGGTTCTTCTTTTCCAGGTGGTGACAGTGTGAAGAGACGTTTAAGCATCCTTTGGTTACTGGTCACTACATTCATGCTCAGGCTGATATGGTGATCTTTCGGTGGATGTATACTTAATCACTTTCAACTGATTTATTTCTAACACTGTACCAATCAAAAGTTTAGGGGCCAGTGTGATTTTTTAAAATGATTAAAAAAAAAAAAGTCTCTTATATGCTCACCAAGTCTTCTGTTTTCTATTTGAATACATTTTAAAATGTGATTTATTCATTTGATGGTAAAGCTGAATTTTCAGCATAATTAATCTGGTCTTTAGTGTCACATGATCCCTCAGCAGCTTAATATTTTTGTGGAAACCTTGAAACATTTTCCCAAGATTTTTTTTTTAATGAATAGAAGATTCAAAAGAACAACATTTTGTAACAATGAAAATGATTCACTTTTAAATAATTTAATAATCTTGTGCTGAATAAAATTATTTTCAAAAATGATACTGACCCAAAACTTTTGAACGGTATTGTAAATTAAAAGAAAAAAGTTAAATAGCCTACTTGTGTGTAATTCTGAAGTTACAACCAAATCACAATAAAACCACTGTCAACATTCAAATGTGAAACTTACTGCAAGACCACCTAGTGAGAGAATGTCCTTTTTAAACACCCTGGGGCAAAGATATGTTAATAAGCATTCGCTTTCAGTTTCATTTGAAGGTTTTAGAATAAAGATCTACCTTACTGTTACTGATGTTGAAATAAAAGAAAAGTCCTGAATTTTACATGGCTCCTTTAGGCCAATGTGAGAACTCAAGGAACTGAAACCAGAGGATGGTGTTAAAGTGAAAAACAAGTGTGAGCTGATTGGAGCTTATATAACTGGGTGAGCAGTTGTTTTTGTTCGTTTGATGTGCTCATTTTGAGCTCAAAGCTTGGAACTCTCAAATGAATGTAGTTTATCACGTAGGCTTCAAGTAACCTGTGCCCAGTTGAGGATTATGGTGTCACTTTAAAGTCTGTAAGTAACTTCTAGTCAACATCTGTGAATGGTTCCTATTTGCTTATCAAAATTATGCTTTGTTTGGCAAAGATAATAGGCATGAACCGCATGACCAAGTGTTTACTCTTCACAGTGATAAAGTAAGAGAGGTATTGATCACATACTTGAAACAGGCCATTAGCTCACTATAGGAAAGAATGCAAAGCTCAGTCAAATAAACAAGCTCATTGACACATTGTTTCTCTTCCATTAATCATTGGTTGTTTCAACTTGTAAGTGAATAATGTGCCACTGTTCAGGAAAATGGATTAATTTTAGCTTATTTATTCAAATACATCCTGATGTAAACGGTTAACAGACTGTTTAATCATGTTTAGTGTAACATGATTAGTGTGTGTGTGTGTGTGTGTGTGTGTGTGTGTGTGCCTGACAGCTATACTGATATAGCTAGTCTTGGTGATTTGGGTGATCAATACAATTTTGTAATGCAATGATTTAATCGAAAATACCAGACTTCTGTTTCTGCAGCAGTCTGAAAGGTTGTTTGTAGAGAATAGTTAGCCTACATGTTTGTACCAAGGTTTATAAGTAGATTGAAAGTAATACCTGAGTAATACCCAGTCACTGCTTTGCGCCTGCGCCTGTCAGTGCGGGTTTTGAACTCTACTCTCTTGTAAATAACACAGGAGCGACGTGTTTCGAAGATAACCTGTTCGTCTGATTAACACCCGGTATCTCCTGTAACCCGGATGACCGGGTGTGTATGATGTTTATGACACGAACAAAACAATAAACAGCATATTTTTGGCAAAAAAAAAACAACAAAAAAAAAAAATCAGTAGCTGGCTTGACGGATTTGTAGCTATGGTTTGTCGATTACCATTTTATTTTTAAAGTTGATGTGGTTTGTGAGTGAAACAGTGTGAAGCAACATCCTTTAGTTTAGAGCCACTATTTCAGACACTTCGAGCTGTTTTTGTTGACTTCTGAAGATAGTGGTTGTTTCTTTGTTTTTGCAGTCTTATCTAGGCTACATTTTGCAATTCAGCACATCACGACCTCACAGTGACCTAAAAACAAGTTCACAATTACGTTATATAGGCTACATAGTTGTATCATGTCGAATAATTACCTGAATCGTTAGCTGTAAGAGATCGATTCCTCTTCATTCACCTTCATATTTCACTTCCCTGATAATCTGCATTTTAGGAAATACTCTCTAATCAATTAACTCCGTCGAAGAAAATTGATTTCAGCATTTATGATAAAAGGAACCCACGTTTACTGAGGGGGCAAATCTAAAAACTACTTCCTACACTACGTCAAACCTGATTCTCTCGCTGCTTCAAAAGCACATCTGACTGTAGGATCAACTGTGGACGGCCCGTGATTTTCCAGTGCAGCGCGAGACTCACCGCTGATTGGCTGACAGTTATTCTCAGCCTCCCGATGCAGCCAATAGAAACGATCTGATGCTTCCCACATGAAACCATAGCATGAAACAGCTATAAATTCGACAGTTGCCCAGAAACATTTTCTCTGAAAGTGCCGCTAACTGCTGGAGAAAGAGAGAGAGAGAGAGGGGGAAGCGAGAGCAAAGGCATCAAGGGGGAGATCACTGCACTAAAGAACTTGTTTGCCTTTCTCTCAAAGGTATGTGTTCTTTATTTTATTTTATTCATTGTAATATTTTATTTTGAACAAGTGCAGTAAATGACTAGAGGGATTGTTACATTTTAACCATCTGCTCTCCGAATGGCATTTTTTTCAATGAATGGAATAGGCTAGCCTACTATAATTAGTTTGAAGTTTGTTGTTTTATATTTTAGTAGATTTTATGGCACTAAATTATATTTAATAATCCATTTATTCACGTTTTGAGCATAGACCTGAAAATTAAATTTCCAATTTAAACTGTCGTAATTCTTGAATGTTTTAAAGCACGGTTTGATGTCTTTTTAAATATGACAATGGTAAATATTGCAAAAAAGTTTTAAAAAAAGCGAACCCAAAAAAGTGACAACATTTCTATATGAAATCTATATTTTCAAAAACACGTTTTACTCTAAAACTGCATTAAAATCAAGCCATACATCTAAACAAGTTGTGTTCCAAATTAAATTCGTCTCCTATTCATTTCCGAAGAGCACAAGTGTAACTATTTTTTCACGACCATTCTTTTCGAATCATGATCATGATTTTTCATGTGTGTTCACAGCAAGTGCAAAAACCTTTACCAAGTTTCATATTCCAGTGAAGTAAAAAAAGAAAAAAAAAAGAAAAAAAAGAAAAGAAAAAAGAAAACAAACATTTTTCGGTCAAACATTAGAGGGGCACCTAGGTAGGCTATGTGTTTTTGATATAGCCTACAAGTCATACAATTCAATTTAGGCTACATTTGTCACAGCTATCTTTTTGTAATTTTGCATCGAAAACATTGTGTTTGGGGTCTGTTGTAATGTGATTTTTGAAGTTTCGGCACCCCTCCCTGTCCCTATTCTTGCACTATAATGCAAAAGAGCCAACTGAGTTTGAAAGAAGTGATTTTGAAAGTGTTATACATAACAAAGAAGGTGTGAGTCTCTGAAGCAGTATCAATTGATCACACATTTTAATAAGAGTTCAAAAACTAAAAACTACACTTGAGTCCTTACTAGTAGGTTACTGTTACCTTTTATTATAAGATATGCATTATTCATGTTAATTATGAACCTGTAGTAGGCTAGGTCTCTGGATGGTATGAAAAATAGTTACTGATTAGCTAATGGTAAACTACCACATTCAGCTGATTCCATTAAAATGACTCCAACACACTCATCTCTCTCTCTCTTCTTCATCCACAGATTGTGTGGTCTCATCCCACCAGACACTGTCAACCACCCTTTCCGTCTTATCTGTCTGCTTTCCTACTCCCTCCAGCCATGGCACCCACTCTAGCCACAGCATTTGCCCGCCGCTGGTGGATGGCGGTAACGGCCATTATTGAAAATCTGCTCTTCTCCGCTGTTCTGTTGGGCTGGGGTTCCTTACTCATCATGCTGAAGTCTGAAGGCTTCTATTCATACCTCTGCAAGGAACCAGGTAAGAGTCACTCTTCCACCTAGATTCAATCTGATGCCACAGAACCTTTTTAAATTTCACAAAGAATGTGTTTATTTAATGTAAGGGTGTTTGAAGTTACCCAGAAACAAATGCACTGTTCTGAAGAAGCAATGTAACATCAAGAACAAGAACTCAAGAAACCTGTGCAGCAATTTAAGCCTTATTCACACTACATGATTTTAAAACGCCGGGCTGAACTGACTTGCTCTTTGTGAAATCAAGAGTGTTCAAATTGTTGAGCTGTTCACACCACGCGACACAACGCGATTGGTCCGGAACAGGAGGTAACGCACTACACGAGTTGACAACCACTCTGTCACCCAACGATTCTATCTTGTCTACAAACCACGTTTTGTCACGAAAAATCACGTGATAAAACAAACCGGAAATGACGCGAAACAGCACGTGCGCCAATACCCAGCAAAGAAGAGAACAATGTCAGACACAAACTAGTGCTGCAAACTGTTGCACGATGATTTGCTCTGAGACAAAAAATGCAAAAAATGCAAAAAAAAATAAGATTTACAACCCATGCCTTGCTCTGATTGGCTGGAGCTCATGACATCACAGAGATTGTGTCGTGCGACAGCTCTGGATATATAGCATGCTAGTTATTTTTCTGGGCTCGGCGACGCATCTGTGAGCGTCTTTGATACATTGTTGGCTCTTTCATACTAACAGATTGGCAAGCGTTCATCGCCCACTAATACCCCACGATTTGCACACGATAACACCCTGACCTGTCGGTGAGCTCAACGATTTGCAAATTGGGCTTAAATCGGCCTTAAAATCATGTAGTGTGAACTTGGCTTTAGAAGAGCCATTGAGGAACATGTACTTCACGCTGCAAGTCAAGCCTGCCTGTGATCATGTCTATATAATAATTTGAAGTAATGCCTGATTGTGTTTTGCCTTTTGGTCAGTATGCATATTGGCAAATTCCATTATTCCAATCTGATCTTGAAAGCTCACAAACACTGTGTCTGATAGTACTCGCAGGATCCTACTTTTAAAGTCACGTGTATTGTGCGGTAATCCATCACTGACAGAAGCGTTTTATGATGGTGTAACTGATTGCGCTCTGCAACAAAACACTTTTGTGCTTCCTTTCTCTAAGGAGGAGGAACGACGTCTTCCCACAGGAGCCTCACAACCACTGACTTCCATTAAATCAGCTGGGATAGTCACGGTTGCTCAGTAAAACACTGGAATGTAGAAGGGTTTTCCACAGGGACCCGGACTTAATCAAGTGCTCCTTTAAATCGAGAGGCCTATACTGGTTAGCTCTTAATTGATTGATTGATTGATTGAACTGGTTTTGGTATTGATTTGCATCACAGAACGTGTTTTGGGCTTACTGTGTATGCTGATTACCTTTTATCACTGTCTTTTTCTTTCTTAACCACTTTGGACTAGATTTAACAGAACATGAGGACATTGAAACCTATTTAACCACAAAAGCTTGAAATTCCCAGGCAGACGAGAAGAAAGGGGGTAGAGGAGGGGCAGAAGACGAGAAAAAGAGTTGTTTGTGAAGGAAACAGTAGGAGGCTTATCGTTTGGGTAGATCTAGGAATACCACTTCTTCTGGGTGGAGTGGTGGGCATCTTACGTATCTGTCTGTCTGACAAAAATTTTTTTGCATGGGAAAGTTTTTTTTTTTTCTGCTGTCATAGAAGTTCCTGTTTTTTTGACATCTGCTGATCGTATGTCCTTTCAGTCACATTATTGTGGCATAATAAGACTGTCTCAGCGAAAATCGTCAGTGCACAAGACCGTATTTAGCAATCTTAAAGTCCACAGATAAGACTCAAAGGACAGTGTCATGAGGCATTAGTCAGCATTCATTATTCTTGACCATTTTGAAGGATGTGTACTTGCGTAGCATGTGGTTTAGTACACTAACTTTGATTTCCAATCTTTTAACTTGGCCTGATAACAGCTCTTTATCACATTCAAGCTTTCACTAAGATGAGGTTAGAGACAATTTGTACTGTGTGTCTGTTCCTCGCATTTTATCAGATCTGGCCTCCAAACCAATGGCTATGAATGAAAAGAACAACCCCTCCTTGTTTTCACTCCCTAATTTGCTCCCAAATCATTGTATTAATATTTTAAAATGTCTATGTTCCTGTATGAATGTGTGTTTAGTGTCAGTACTTTGCAGTTTCCAAAGTCTTAGGACATTTAAAAGAATTTTATTAATAAAACACCCAATTTGGATTTTCATGTGACTCTCAGACAAATACATCACATGGCTGTCAATCCAATCAGAAAAAAAGGCGAAGGATCAGATGAAAAATCATATTCAGATTTTCAGATCAGATTTTTCTTTGTGACTGGGTTTGTCCTGCAATGCAGCCATTTGCACATTGTTGTGGCCTATTTTGGTGCATCTTTGGACCAGATAACTTTGAACATACATTACTAGTGGAACATTTTTCCATGTTGAGAGTACCTTGTCAGAACGTTAGCCAAAGTTTTACAGAAATTCCCTGTTAGTTGTGAATGCCATTGCGATATCTTAAAGTTTTGAAAGACAGGTTTTGTCTAATTGACTCGCATGTCTCAAAAGTGTACTTTTTTTTTTACCACATTTTGTGTTTTTCAGCTTAACATTCATTTATCATTCATCAGCAGATAAGAAGGAAAAACAGATTAGTATAAGGTCAGGTCTGATTATCAACTTTATTTGACTCCAGTGAGCCAGCGGCTATTAATTGAGTGTCACCTTGTTCAGTATCAGTAGATTGAATATATGTATATGCATTGTGAGATAATGTGGAACAGGATTGTACAAGAGTCCAAAAGGACGATTATTAACATTGTTCCGGCAGCAGAACAAGATAAAGGAAGAGCAAATGTTGAGCTTTCTCCTCTTTATCTATCCCAGCCCTTATCCCAGGTTTTATTGAGACCACAAAATGGTGATTCCTCATTCTAAGCATTTTATTGCTGGGTAAAGGTTTATCTCAGACACTCTGGAAAACAGCTGAAACCACCCAGATGTAATTCCAGGTTGGTTTATGCAGCTCTAGCCGGTCATAAGCTAACATTTTCTAATTAGAAAACCTGGTAGGAACATTATCATATTTTGAGAGTTTTTTTTTTTTTTTTTTGTGAAGTTCAAACAGATAGACACCATTTTCCTTAAGCATGTTAAAGAGATAGTTCACCCAAAAATGACAATTTTGTCATCATTTGCTTTTCCTCATGTCATTTCAAACCTTTATGAATTTTCCCCCAATTGAACACAAAATAAAGATATTTTGAAGAATGTTAGGGTCCAAATCATTTTAGAGCCTAGTATTGAATTTTATTGAATGGAGAAGAGAAACTGAAGACATTCTTCAAAATATCTTCTTTTGTTTTCCACAGTAGAAAGAAATTCATACACGCTTGGAACAACGTTAGGCTTATCGTCTACTGACAATCCCAAGTCTTGAGTCATTATTGGAGTGTCCTTACCTTCTGTAGCTTTAATTCATGGACCGTTCCACCAATGGTGTAAACAAAAGGCCAAAGAGTGCATAAACCCCAGTCATGAACTTCAAGGAACTATCGAGAGGTATAGAAGTCTGCACGTGCGGCATCTGTGGGTTTGGACATTGACCAGAATCACAAGTACATGATGCTTACGTCACAGCATAGGGCTCACAGCAGGGACACACGTGACCAGTTTTTACACCAACATCTGAGTTTTCTCACTCTCTCTCTTTATCCCCGTATAGCAGAAATGGAGACTCCAGCGGGGTGTATATCAGGTCACATTAATTTAGCAGTGAGCTGGTTTTTGGAACATGGTAGTTGCTGGTAATAAGTTACACGGGTCCCCATTAGCCTCTTATACCTCTCCCCTTCTTCTTTCCTAAAGGAAACAGTTCAACAGCAAACGTCTCATTACCAGCTGTGCCTTCATCATTGTCGAATGATGCAGAGTTTGATTATGACGAGTTCCAGCCTGGAGGTGTGGAGGTGGTCCCTCTGAAACATCCAGAGGAACACCTGAGGATGAACGGCTGGCTCATCTGTAAAGAACAGGATGAGATGCTGAATCTGGCCTTCACCGTGGGCTCCTTCCTCCTCAGCGCCATCACACTCCCGCTCGGAATCGTCATGGACAAATACGGTCCACGCAAACTCCGCCTGCTTGGAAGGTACACAACATGTGCTTAATTTTCAATATCATTCCTATAACAATCCAATTTTTTGGATTAATAAATAAAGCTTTTGCACCATGTAATATAGCGTGTATCCCAAGGTCACATCACAGAACATTTTCCATGATTAACTGAGTTTCAATTCTTCCTTTCCAGTGCCTGCTTTGCCCTCTCGTGCCTAATGATCGCTTATGGAGCCAGCAACCCAAATGGTAAGAATGTCCTACATGCAATTCAGAATGAATTTATCTTCAGTCTTCATACTTATCGAAACAGACACCAATATGTCAGTTTTCCACTAGGAACAGTTAACGTCTCCTTGTTTTTGTCTAGAACTGTCCGTTCTGATTTTCATCGCTCTGACCTTTAATGGCTTTGGGGGAATGTGTATGACCTTCACTTCACTTACGGTGAGTGATAACTTATTCATGAATGTACACTTGTGCTCTTTTGATGTGTTTGAATTAGCTTGTTGCTTGCTAATTAGCTTGCTTTAACTGCCATAAACATTGAGGGGGATACGTCCCATCTGATATCCAGATTAGCCGTGGCTTTTTCAGTGGTTGGTTTTGAAATTGTAACATTTGTTCCCTGCAATCCTGCTACATCCAGGCTAGTTAGAAGTCTCTTTCCTCAATCTTTTGCGCGTCTCTCAAGCGCGGTGCAGTAAGTTAATCATTAGACCCATTTGTGCATCTTACTTCAGTGTTTTTCCTGCTGACTCGCTTTTGTCGCTGCTCTGGCACCATGGCAGCATACAGTCCTCCTGACTCAGTGTGCTGACCCTGTAAGATTAGCCTGCGGTTATCATGTGCTCAGAGGAACTATACGACCATGAACTCACAAAAACACTTACACCCAGAGTCCAAAATGTACTTTTTGCTACACCTGCAAAATTAGAACTTTTTAAAACAACACCTTCCCCAAATACTTGAATTACATTGATGGCTTAATGCAAAAGTTGTTGTTGATAATAATGCGAGTGTTCTTGTGTGCCATGTTTGAAGTGTACTTGGAGTGGCAAAGTCGCATAACAATTGATTTTGGAGAACATTTTCACACCAGTTCTGTTCTCACAAAGTACAACTGTTCCATCTCGAAGCTGTTGATCACTCACATTCAAACGCATTCTTACATAACAGGACACTCGCTGTTGCTCATCCACTTGTTGTCACAGGAACAAGGCATAACTGTGGGCAGGCTGCCCCAGTTTGGCCTCCAATTAGAGTCATAAAAGAGACTTAGATTCAGCCGGTCCAGACTGGATGGATCATTCCTCAGTTCTTACCAACCTAGTTATTCCTCTTTTAAATTGACAACAGAAAGTAAGTAGAACAGAAAGTAAGTAAGTTAATTGAGGAACAGAAAGTCAGTGAAGTAAGAAAGAAGTGTGGATTAACAGTTCAAAAATAATTTAGGGCCAATTACTCATTCTCGTAGTCTTCTAGTTTTCTAGTCCTCTGTCACTTGCTCTTTTCCTCTTTCAACCCCAAGTCCTCATTCTCTGGTTATAGTCAATGCATCAGAAGTGAAACTGCTTTCACTGTCGATGTGTGCTTTCATAAGCCTGTAATTGATGGCTGTCTCTCATTGCTTCATGAGATTTTTAGAGAAAGTCTGCGGTTTAATTGTCTTTATGCTCATAGCAGTCACACAGTCAAAAGATGTCTGAATATGATTTTTATATTGCTATTGTTATGGATTATTTATATTATAGTATATTAATAAATAAATAAAAAATAAAATAGAATTTTGTATTAATTAAAACTTAAAAAATATGATTAAAAATTAAATTAAATAAATTAACACACACATATATATATATATATATATATATATATATATATATATATATATATATATATATATATAAATATAGATATAAACACACTTTTCTTTTTTGCCAGGGTTGTTATGGATTATTTCAATTTTATATAATTGTATATTAATTTATTTAAAGTTTTAAGTTATTTAAATTTAGAATTGTATACATCTTAAATAAATAAATGTTATATATACACACACATATATATATACAAAATAAAATCTGAAGTGGATGTGTGTCATGAAACAAACTTTTGTATTTAACACCAGCACCCACAAAGTTATTTTTAACCAAATGCTATTCATCTGTTTCCTTCCAGCTGCCCAACATGTTTGGTGACCTGCGTGCCACCTTCATCGCACTCATGATCGGCTCGTATGCGTCCTCGGCTGTCACCTTTCCTGGAGTCAAGGTCTGTTAGATTAAACAACTGGGTGAAAACAAATGATTGTAATCCTACCTTATGATCTTAGATATGATTTGTTTCTTGTGCGTTGTTTCTGAACAGGTGATCTATGACATTGGTGTGACCTTCATCACGATTCTTGTGGTCTGGGCGGCCTGTGCAGGACTCGTCTTCATCAACTGCTTCTTCAACTGGCCCCTGGAGCCTTTCCCTGGACCTGAGGACCATGACTACACGTAAGAAACACATGCTAACTCTATTTCCACGCTCTCATACGCATCAGACATTTGCAATTTCTCATTCTGATTTGTTTTTTGTATATCTAGTATCAAGATCAAGTTCAGTTGGCTGGGATTTGACCATAAGATTACAGGAAAGCAGTTTTATAATCAAGTGACGACAGTGGGCAAGCGTCTTAGCGTGGATCACACTCACAAACAGAAAGAGCTTGCCAGAGAGGGTCAGAAACTTTGTCTGTCCACCATGGACCTGGAACTGCAGTCTGAGAACAAGGAGGAAAGTAAGTGACAACAAGAAAAGACCAGTAACATACGCAAATACTCAAATGCAAAGTTTCACTAACAGAGCCTTAAATGGGTCGACAGGTCAACAAATCATTTTGACTATCTCTGTTTTCCTTGCAGCTCAGTCATTCATGAAGAGTATTTTAAGCCCTCTGTTCATATTGAGTCTGGTGACCATGTGTGTGACTCAGCTGCGTCTCATCTTCTACATGGGAGCCATGAACAACATCTTGGAGGCCCTCAGCGGAGGAGATCTCAACACAGGTGGATAAGCATGTTTGCATATTTCTGAAAAAAAAAAAATAAATAAATAAATAAATACATACATATATATATAGCATTTATTTGATGCAGTAATAACAAAAACAGTAATAATGTGAATGCAATAAAACATTTTCTAAAAAAAATGTATTATGATAATTCAGATATATGAGCACCACAAAGAATTTTTTCTGGAAAAAAAAAATTCTCGCGAATACGCAATAGGTTTCTCGTGAGCACGTGAAAGTCTGTATATTTTTTATTTTTGCGAAGGTCCCTTAATAGTACGTGAATGCAGCTGAAAAAAACAATTTGACTAAACAATTATTTTAAATTTTAAACTCAAATATGCCATAGAAAATAAAATACTTTTTTCTTTTCTGAAAAAAAAAAACAACAACTAAATTTACAGTAATACAGAAATGTGAACGCAGCAAAACATTTTTTCATTTTCTTTACTGTAATCTTTAATTACGATAATTCAGATATGTAAATGAATGGGTAGAATAAAATAAAAAAACATTTTAATTTTAATAATACAGATATGTGAATGCAGCAAAACAAAACTTTTCTGAAAAAAGACTTAACAAATATTGTAGTTACTATAATACAGATATGTGAATGCAGAAAAGGAAAAAAAAAATCTTTCTGGAAAAATATTACTAATAAAGATTTTTAAAACCATATCAGTTATTTTTGAAAATTTAATTGCCTTCTAATATTTATTTATTTGTTATTTTTATTTATTTTTTTTTACCATTTTTGCAGTTGAGAAAATGGAATTGGGTAAGAATCTCAGTAACAGTACAAACCAGTAGAGCATGTAGTTCCCTAAGCTTGTTGTTTTAACATTTAACCTTCTCCTGTCCTCACCTCAAGCCTAACCCACTCCCTGTCCACCTGTGCTCACGGATGCAATGCATACGCAACCTTGCAGAGTGCCATAAACCCAGCCATTAACCAGAGTAGTTATTAACAGACGTTATCCATTATACAGTGTTGTATAATAATCTCTCTCTCTCTCTCGTTCTCTCAGTGAGCCTTTACACCTCAATTTTTGGTGTGATGCAACTCTTGTGCTTGATGACGACGCCAGTCATCGGTCAAATAATGGACTGGAAGCTGAAAGAATGCGAAGATGGAGAAAGCGATGAAAAAGAGCCCAACAAGTAGGTTATAGAACACATGTTAGTGAACTTCAGACTAATAATGTGTGAAGCTCAAAATGCTACAGTTGTTTTAAGCGTCTCTGTTCGCTCCATGTTTCCAGGGATGAACCCCAGCCCAAACGCAGAGACAAACAGATTCAGAAAGTCACCAATGCCACACGTGCCTTCATCTTCACCAACATCCTCCTCGTCGGCTTTGGCATCACCTGCCTGATTCCCAATCTCCCACTTCAGGTGTGTGTTATGTGTCTCTGTGTTATGTATAGTCCATAGAAATGTATCAATTTAACAATAAGAATAGCATACTACCATACTATATTTTTTGCAGCATGTGTATTTGTATAACCCACATTGCCAAAATGAGCTGCGCGCAAAAAAGAAAGCACAAAATGTAATATATCTTTCTTTCCAAAATGCACCGTTTTTGACATGCTATTTTTTAAATGATGTGCATTGTGGAGTATATATTATGTAGTATTTGTAAATTAGTTAAAATAACATCTTTATCTCTCTCTTTTTTTGTAGTATGCTCTGTTGTATACCCGTGTTGTTATCATTAACTAAGACTAAAATTAAAACTAAAAAACTTTTATAAAACTAAAAATGTTACAACTAGTTTCTGATTATTGTAATAAAGCTGAAAAAAAATATATAACATGAGAAACATTAACTTAAAAAAAATGTAAATGTTGCCTTGGCAACAAACTGAAATAGTACTGAAATGACTAACACATAAACTAAAAGTAAATAAAAATGTATTAAAGCTAAACAGAAATACCGGTATTTAAGAAAAACAAAAACGTAAAAATATATATATACAAGGCAAGAACAATATCATTTAAAAACTATAAAAACAGAATACAATACAACTATATATATACTATATCGTGGCCATGATTTAAGAATTTACTCTGTCAAATACCGGTATTTAAGAAAAACAAAAACGTAAAAAATATATATACAAGGCAAGAACAATATCATTTAAAAACTATAAAAACAGAATACAATACAACTACAGTATATATATACTATATCGTGGCCATGATTTAAGAATTTACTCTGTCGTTTTGATTTAATAAAACGAGAACAAATTATTACAACGTGGCCACAATTTAGTAAATCGAGGATGCAAATAATTATATTGTGTGCATTATATTGCATACTTCTAAAATATAAATATAATGTAATGCATTGCTAAGTAATGAATTACTGTCATTTAATTACAGTTACTTCTGATGTAATTTCATTAAATTCTGTATAGACTTTAGAACAATCTGTAGTGGATTTAACATCATCTTATGTTCATGACGTCTAATCTTGAAGTTTAGATGGGATTGAGAAAGTAATGCAACTTTTTATCAGAGAGTAATTGGTAAAGTAGTTAAACTGTTGAAGATGTAATTATATAAAATACATAATACGATATACAACCCCCCGCATGTCATGTGTTCTCCGTATGTATACTAAATTTAACATCCGTACACTAAATACTGCAACTACATCAGCAATATTAATATATGAGTAAGCCATAATGCTATTCTGTTATTGTGCAAATGACGGCTGTGGACAAATTTGGAATAGCATACTACTCATACTATTTCTTCCATGCACAGTATTTATGGTGCATACCATGAAGCAGAAAGAGTAAAAGTGCAAAGCAACACCCACCTATTCCCCCTGAGGGTCTGCTTAGCTGTACAGCATCTCCCTCTAGTGACTCAATTATGAAACTACTAGCATGTCAACTTCCAATTTTACCACAGAAAACAGTCAAATGACGTTTATACGGTTTGATTTAGTCATTTAACCTCATGCCATCTCTCTCCAGATGCTCTCATTTGTCCTTCACACCATCGTCAGAGGCTTCATCCACTCCGCCATCGGAGGACTTTACGCTGCTGTGTGAGTTTCATTACCTTTGCCAGTAATAGCAGCATTCAAAGCGTATGATATGATAACACATACTCTGTTTGTGTGTCTGCAGGTACCCATCATCTCAGTTTGGCAGTCTGACCGGAATGCAGTCATTGGTTAGCGCCGTGTTCGCTCTGCTGCAGCAGCCTTTGTTCATGGCCATGATGGGACCACTGAATGGAGACCCGCTCTGGGTATGAAACAAACAAGAGAGAGCATTAGCAATACTAAATGGATTAAATGCCCGTCAGGCATGTTTTGACCTCCTCTATATCTTTTTTTTTTTCCTGGTGTAGGTGAACGTTGGTTTGCTGGTTCTCAGTATGTTGGGCTTCTTGTTACCGCTCTACCTGCTGTACTTCAGGAGAACTCTGCACAAAAAGAGGAAGGAGAAAGAAAACAATGCTAAAATCTATCTGAAGATTAACGGCAGTGACGTACCAGAGGCGTTTGTGTAAAGAAGCTAAAAGAAAAAAAAGCAGATAAAGGGAAAAACAAAGGCATGAGAATATCATCACAGCTACACAAAAACACACACTACTGTGCATCTCTTTCTTATTGAGTAACTCAATGGATGAAAAGAGGAATGAGACAGAATGTAACATGGGAAAATTGACATCCCCCTTTTTCACCATTTTATTTTAATTTATACATGTGGTAAAGTTTCAACCCTGACTGTCTCTTCATAATGCAAACTAGGGACATTTCAGTATACGGCGTATTAGTATATGGTATTTATATACACAGTTTTTGCCAACTGGACATTTTTGAGGAAGACTGAGGCCAGCCTGGCCCGCATAGACGGCGTAAGGATGCCAGTTGGCTGTTTTGCCCAGGAACGCAGCCAAACACCCCATTCATTTAACTAACCTTCACTGTATTGAGATTTCAATGTAAACCAATATGGCCCAGAATTTGTAACTGTAATAATAGTGGTGCAATGTAATTGCATTCACTAAAGACCACTTTCAAGAACATTTTTCATTCATAATGATACACAAAGTGCCTTTTTTATGAAGTAATGTTGTATTTATGAATCACTTTTGATCATAGGTACTTCATGAAAGCCACGATTTATGTATTAAGTTTTTCTACGACTTGCACATGAGATGCATACATAAAAGAGGCTGGACTGATCTGCAGTAAGTGGCTGATCTGCGAGGAAAGCTGAGGCAACAACAGCACTTTAACACATGTCCCATAAAAGCCCTCATGACCCATAATTCCCTTTTTCTGTCTTTCTTTCACTAACATTCCGTGATTTCTCAGTGTGCTGAGAGTCATTTATGTGTCACTGATCGTTAGATCAAGTTATCGTGGACCTCTGAAGTAAAATATTGTATATAAAGCACAACTTAACTCACAAACGTGCCTTTTGTGCAGTTTACAGTGCAGTTAGTAATGCTGATGATAGCTGACGGGAAGACCGGAGTCAAGGATTCTGTGGAAATGTTTTGGTGTTGTGTGTAATGTATTTATTTCTTAACAGGCCATATGGACAATGCAGCCGTACTTGCAAAGGTTGTTATATTAACTTACATCTCAGTGTTGCAGTGGCTGTTTGTTGTTTGTTTGTTTGTTGTTTTTCAAAAACCTTCATGTATTGTTCTATATGGCATTAATGTTGAAGATTATATTCAATAAAATTTGTAATTATTACATTTGTGCCATTTACTATTTTACAGTGAAATCATTATATTAGTGTGTATTATAATAGAAGGACCTTAATTAAATATACCTTTGTTTTATTTTTCAAAATATAAATCTAATCAAGAAAAACAAGGTGGTTTTCTCTGATGGAAATATTTTTTTTATTTAATTTTTTTTCATCAGAAGTGAAATAAAAGTGTGTTAATGTATAGGTGTGTGTTATTTCCATTGTCATTACCATCACCACTACAACTCCTCACTACCATTATACTGCCAATATTGTATTAGTCAGTTTTCATTTTTATTTCCATCTTTCCTCCTATGTAACAATTGCCATTGTCAGCACTCTCCAAAAATAAAAGATACTAATAAGATATTATAAGATAACCAACCCCCCACATCTCTTCAGTCCCTTCTCCTATTTTTTATTTTTATTTTTGAGAAAATCTCTTGTGAGAGTGTCTCAACTTGGGACAGAGATACTGTCCCATGGAAACCACATCTCGCCTGGCACGTCTTGCCTGCCTAATAGTTTGTGAGGCTTTTCATATATATGTGGTTTCCATGGGACAGTATCTCTGTCTTGTTTTGGGTCCAGATCAGGTGTGTATAATTTTGTATAGTATTCTTGTAATATTTTGTTTATCTCAATTGGTTATCTTAGAGTTTCTGATGGAGGTTATAGCTTTATTTCATTTAATTTGACTGGCTAAATATTTTCCGGATTTATTGCTATGGTGGAAAGTTTCTTGACGAAGCCTGTGAATCAGAAACTGATTTTTTTGTCTATTTTTTATTAAGCAAAAATGTATTTTTTTCTCTCAAGTCTTTATAGATGGTTTTTGATTGATTATATGCATTTAAATTTCTAATTCTTTTATTTTTTTCTTCCAGTTGGACTTTTTCTCTGTCCTATACTGAACATAATATAATTTTTTCTATGTAATACTACTTTCCATGTTTCCCAGAGCAGTGATACTGGCGACTTTGGAGAGTCATTTATTTCAAGGAAGGATGTCGTCTCTCTCTCTCTCTTGAAGTATCTGTCAAATTCTGGATCTGTCAAGAGGGATGTATTAAAACGCCATCTGGTGGGGTGCTTCTGTATTGCAGACGGGTTCCACGTGAGAGTTACCAGAGAATGGTCACTATGATGATGGGATGAATTTTGGTATCTATGATATTTGGTATGATTGAATTACTGGTTAGAAAGAAATCAATGTGGGAGTAGGTTTGGTGGACATTAATAAAAATTGTATTCTCAATTGAGGTGTTGCAGCCTCCATCACCAAGACCAAAATCACTCATGAACTGTTTTCTTCCAGGACTTCCAGGATTTCCCTGTATGTTTTGACCTGTCCAATGATGGATTGATTACAGTATTATAGTCTCCCCATATAATTGTTGGATCGTTGGAAAGGTTTGAAAGAGAGGAAAAGAAATGGGATGAAGGGAAATGGGAAATGGGAAAAAAAGGAGGGATCATCAGAGTTTGGTCCATTTATGTTGCCAATTGTAATTGGATTATTATTGATTGAAATGTTGCCTTCGGGATCTGAAATGATTTTATGGTGGTTCAATTGTATTTTTTTTTTTTTTTTTTTTTATTAAGATGTACACTCCTCTTTGTTTTGAATTATAGCAGGAGGAAAAACAGTGGTTAAAATGTGTAGTTTTTAAGCTGTTTTGTGTAGATTGAGAGAAGTGTGTTTCCTGTATTAGACATATATCAGCTTGCATATTTTTTAGATAATTTAGTTTGTTTTTTTTTTTTTTTTTTTTTTGGTTAATCTAAAAGTAATGCGTAACTTTATAGTTACTTGAAAAAGGATGGAACAGAAACCAGGATGGAACATGAAGCAGGGCTGGAACCAACACATGACAAGACAACATGAGAGACAACAAGAGACAACTATCATGATTATGATTATGATTAGCATAACCATAATTTTGATTATTATCATAATCAATTATCATAATTATCAATTATCATAATCGTAAGTATTATTATCATATTATGGCTTACAGCTTATGAAACCCCCAAATTCAAAATTAGAATATTGTGAAAAAGTTTCATAAGCTGTAAGCCATAATCATCAAAAATTATAACAAAATAAAGGCTTGAAATATTTCATTTTGCATGTAATGAGTCTACTAATATATCAGTTTCACCTTTTAAGTTGAATTACTGAAATAAATGAACTTTTGCACAATATTCTAATTTTTTTGAGTTTCACCTGTAGTTTTAAAAAAAGAAAAAGATTAGGCCTATATTAGTGATAATAAGTAATGTCGATTTTATTAGTGTGCTACAATGAGCAATTATTTAATGCAAATATTTTATTTTATAGCCTACAATAGGCATTTTAAAAAAAAAATCTAATTCTATAAATGAGTCTAAATGAGCGAATAAAAATACATAGCTGCAGTTATCCCTTCATCATATTTGGGCGTCCACACACACACACACACACACACACAACGGACCCTAAAATTAACTGGCATCAAAAGGTTTGCTGAATGCTGTATGACATTAAACGAGAATGATGATCTGACTCCTTTTTTAAAATTATGAATCAGATTTTAAAATGATCAATTATGATGACAGACTGCAGAAACAAATAGCTTACACTGGATCATGTTTTGAAATATAGAAATAAACAGTGTGAACGGGAGACACTATGTGATTTGAGAAATGCATCAGTGGAGGGCAAATCAGAACTATGAAAATAATCGGATGGTGGGATCTGACTCCAGATGTGCTATAAATAGACTGCACCAGTTTATCGTTACATAATTGTGACAGATTGTAATTTGACTGCTATATAGACCACTATGCGACCACCAGCTGTTACATCACAAAAGCGCCCACTTTGAAGTCAGACCACCCATCAACGGTTGTCCCCGTAAAACAAAGACGAAAAAAATAAAATTAAAGCTTACCACGATTACCCCCTCCTCTATGACGACATCACTCCTATGTCACGGACTCAGGGGTTGTTGTTAACGCCCCCCTCGGCCCTGACCAGGAAGTGAATCTGGGGGAAATAGAAAAACGGTCCTTAGAATGACATAGAAGCGGGTGAGGTGGGGTAGACCGAGACACCGGGACTAACGCAGGACTTGACACCAATTTGGATTCATCCAGGTGCAAAACGACGTAATCGCTGAAAGGCATAAAGCACCGGAGAAAATGCTCATTAAAGAATTGTAAGTGCAGCGTTATTTTTGACCTGATTGTAATGAGAGCATCCTCTGTCTGTTCACGCAGCGCAGGTACCAGAGGCCGTGGCGACATTGTAAACTTGACTTTCTGACAGTTCACATTTAAAGCCCTTGATCGCAATCATTTTTAAGGAATTTAATATAGGCTACTAATGGCTTTGTCATATTACCTTGACCTACAATATACTTTATATGTGTTTAAAACGTAGCCTATAACCTATTGCTTTGGCTGGTGCAATTAAAACGTTTTACCCAGATAATTAATATCATCAATTAAACGCTTTTTGGAGGATTTTTGGAAGAAATATCTCATCGAGTGGGTTTAATTGTTATTGATACGCTTGTGAAGGTGAAACAGACCGCACACCGCGTTCCGATATTAAATGGCCCCTGTGTATAGATTTTATACTAATACTTTCAGAAATATCCCGTTCATTCAACACCATGTGGCTATGCGAATGCGATAGGCCTATGCCATATCAGAACAACTGGATCCGTTCACCTTGCGCCTTTCTATGCCTTGCGCATATGTTTCATTGAACCGCGCGACTAAATAACTTGATAGGCTACTCCAAACCTCCCCCGTCATTCACCTTTGAAATATTAATAACCTTTATCTGCCCACAAACAGAAGGCACCATCAGAAAGGTCACTGAAACCATACGAGGCTCTCTTTTCATCTCAAAACTGTTGCAGTGCGTCTGCTATGACATGTCCCATGGTGAAAAAAAAAAAAAAAAAAAAAAAAAAATCTGTTTGTTTGTTTTAGATGGGTTTTGGTTTAACTTAGTGTGTGAAATGTTCAATGACTTTAAAATAACATCTGTCAGTAATTTTCTGGGAGCCGGGTTTGTTTTGGCGCCCCTATCGTCAAACCATCGTAAAGACGTTTTCAATAAACTGTCGATTTGGCTATGCATTTATGAGATGTAGGCTAAAATCACTGTAAAAAGTGTAAAACACGACAGTGATTTTGTTATGACGATTTACATAGGGATCAGCTGTTGCTATGGTTACTCGTGCAACGCCGAATTCTGTTCGCGTGCGTTTGCATTTCTGAGTAAACTTCTATGATTATACTGTGTAAACTTAGGGACGGGCACGTTAATCTGGTTAAACTAGGAGTTGTTAATCTGGTTAAACTAGGAGTTGTTGACCAGTTGACACAAGCAAACCATCTTTTTTCCTCTCAGCAGGGAAGGCTATAGGCTTTAAAATCAATTGAAAAAGAACATGGGTTTAAAGCGCAGTGCACATCATGTTTCTCCTGTTTGTCCTTCTGAAATACCTCTTTCTCTTAAATTCCGCTGTCGAGGTGTTCTTTCGTGCAGGAAAGTGCACACACACGTCTTTGGGATGACTCAGACACGAGCTGAATCCCTACAACGCGACGCGTGTAACGACGCGTCGCGCGACGCTGCATTATCATCATCTGTCATACACCGGCATCTCTCTGACGTCACTTTCATCTACGTCAAGGAGGTTTTGAGAAACAGAGAGGGCTCCGAAGAGAACGAAATGTCTTTTCTATTAAAAAAAAAAAAAATGCAGCATGTAGCTTGGTTGGTTAAAAGAATCATGAAATGAAGAGTTCAGATGCAAAAGCCTCTAAATGCCATTTGAAATTTTCTTCTAAAATGACCATTTTTATCAAGCTTGTATATTTAAGTTCAGTAATTTCACTTAAATGACAATTAATAGGTAATCTTTATTGCCATTTAAGTGAAATTACTGAACTTAAATATACAAGCTTGATAAAAATGATCATTTTAGAAGAAAATTTCAAATGGCACTTAGAGGCTTTTGCATCTGAACTCTTCAAATATAGTTAAAATGTTCATGTTTTGGAAACTAGCATACCACAATAACAACCAAATAATAAAAATGTGCACGTTTATTCAGAGGAGCAGGCTCTCTTGGCTCTGAAGTGGATGCTTGTACACCTCAGGTCCCTCAGGGTTTGCTGTCCGTGGTTCTTTATGTTTTCCAATAATGCACTAAAAATAACTTTCAACACTAAAAATACCAGCGGGTGAAGAATTAGACCACATATTTTGTTATGTGGTTTGAGTTTCAGTTTTGATCAGATGTATTTAATGCAGATTAGATTACAGTCATATTTAAAATTCAAGCAAGCTTCATTATTATGCAGCTTTCATGACTTCATATTTGAGAGATTAATGGAATATTTGTTGTTTTAAATCAACAGTCGCGATTTTCTTGCCTATTGTGACATTTATCCAAATGAAACGTCTTTTCGAATGAGAAGTAGCAGGGCTTTTGATTATTGTCATATGTCATATGCTATTGCTGTGATGTCACAGTATGAGAAGAGATGTTATTTTTAGAGATGTGTATAAGTTATTTTGATTCAAGTTTACGAGGCCACATGGGCACATTTAAAAAAAAAAAAAAAAAGAATGATGTGCACGTATAAATCATTTATAATAAATACATCAATATTCCATTAAAAACAAGACTTAAAAATTGTGAAAGTTAAAATGGTGATAAACTTATTATAGGAAATTACATATTATAAATAATCCATGGACATATTATACATAAACCACCTATTTAAGGATTTTTGTGCTTGTATTAGACATCAGAAGTTTGTGTAGGCTATGCGAGCTAAAGCAGTGACCTCTTGTTCTGTGTGTCTCTTACTCACTTTCCTCTGATCCAGTTTACCTCAAGGATCCAGACACCATGTCTGCTGGGTCTACTGGTCTTATCTGCCTTAAAATACCTTTTTAGTCACTCGTGCCTCAACGTCATGGCAATTTGACAGATTATATGGGCTTTTCTTCTACTGTGATCACTTCAGGCCTGTGGGATTTTAGAAAATAAACTCTCTTGAAACACTCTCACTATAGTTTAATTAGTCTCACTAACAATGTCCAACATATACGTAGCAATGACGACTCATTTTGACATTTTCTTTCCTGCTAATTTTATTGCTTTTAAGTATCCTAAATACACATAAAACCATCATATTTAAAATATCACATTATTATGTCCTCATCTCTGGCTGAATGCAGTTTATTTTAGCTATAGTAAAGTAGAGAAGCTGTCCTTTTCTCTGAATATTGAATTTCAGAATCTATTTGTAAACTTGATTGTCTTGTTACTGAAACAATAAGGAAAGCCTGTCTTATACAGCGAAGTGCAGCCATGCAGGCAAAGGCATTTATAATGCAGAAAGTAGCCTGGGTGTCATCGAGTACATGAGACACCGAAACCACCATGGTGACCGATAGTCCCTGTTCAGGACACACTCCGGAGGGCAAGGTGACTCTTGCTATAGCAGATGCTAACAGAAAACAGTAAAACACACCTGTGCGACCACAGCGTTTGATAAATGGTGAGACTTCACACTGAGTTTATGAAGCATCTGAAATCAGGACATCTTCCCTCATGTACAAAGAATTATATAAAGAAAAATTAACCTGTTCATTTTAGTATTTTTTTTATAAGTGATTTAAATGTGTGCACATCATTATTTATTTTAATTCAAGTGGCCTTATAATCTTTAATCAAAATAACTTCCTTGAGGCAACGTCTCTTCTCTTCTCTGATGATGTGTTTACTGGCTGGACAACCTGTCACTCACATGACATCACAGCAATAGAGTGGTTTTTTTTAAAGAAGTCTTTGTTAAAATAATGAATGTAGAAATCTAATGTTCCTTGATCTTTTGACATATAAGAGGTCATTGTACTATAAATATATCCTGTAAGTTTCAACTTCTTTGGACCAAAAATGCTTTCATTGAAACCAAGCTTAGAAAATAAACTAGTTTCGGATTTTGTCGCATTTTTTCCATGTAGTGTGACGAAAGACCGCCTCTGCAGAAGATCAACGCCTACTTCTACATCATTGCCCCTTTAGCCCCGCCCACCAATTAATGTATGCTAGTAGTGCTGCCTTCACTTGCTATCGGAATTATCGTAAATACGAATTTCCTATAGTTAAAAAGTGCACGTGAACCCCCTCTCAATTCGTGTTTACCACAGGGAAGCTCTGGGAAAATATTGATATCCAAGTTCCCGAGTTGGGTGTTCCCTAAACATGGCAGAGGGGAGAACGATTGTTGCTGTGACTGGTTTTCTATTCGTTTTATCACAACAGCTACATCGCCTTGTCTTGACGTTATAGTAGTGTCAGTAAGACACAGTTCGTTTGTTCGCTTCATTTTACTGCAAATTCATTTTTATACAAGGCACAGTTCGACGCAGGCTTTTCAGAGAGAAAAGATGATGCAGTGCCAACTACATTGGATCCGACAGTAATGTCGCAACACTCAAGTGTGAGTAACAGTGTTTTTACCATGTGTCACTATTGCTTGGCTGATACAGATCATTTGATATGTACAGAGAGTATTTAAACTGTTGCGTCGCAGTCGAACTGAATAGTTTGATTTGCTGTTCTTCCCTTTGCTTCGGCATTTATCGGGTTAATGCAAATGAAAATGTAGGCCTATATGTGTTTTACTTTATCAAATAGGATCAACTATGAACAGCTTATATGAACGACAGTGTGAAAAACAATAATACATTCATTCATAATATCATTTACACGAAACACTGTAAGTCATCTTTTGTCAATTATAAATGTGGTAACTACAAGTACTTACTCACTTCAATGCGCAAAACTGTTACCCAATCACATTGAATGCGGCACACCCATCAAAACAGAGTGTTCGAAAGAGAGGTTCAAAACAGGAAAAAAAAAATTGCGTATTACTTCTAAATTAGGATGTTTTGTAATGTAAAAATCTTGATAACATTATAAGTGGATATCTGAGAATATTCTATATATAGGCTATATATATATATATATATATATATTAAATTGCAGTTCATGACACCTGTAAAGTGTAAGAACCTATTCATCCAGCAACAAAGTGAATCATAACTTTGCAAATTTTGATTTAAAGCAAAAAAGTTTTTGAAAATCGTACACAAATACAAAGGTGAATATTGAATATGGGCGGAGCTTAAGAGCTCCTTTGGCATGTTTTGCTTGTAGCGAGACTCTTATTGGTAGAATTTTCTGTACAGAATCATGGGTAAAATAGTTTGTCACCACATATGCTGATGTTAAACATGATAATATTAAAAAAATAAGTTGAAATAAACAGAGCAATTCCAATAGGGTCCTCACACCATTGGTGCTCTGCCCTAATAATGCAGGCTGACAGCTTTAACAAAAGCATATAGGCCTACTACCATTGAATAACAACCTTGTAGCTCACTGTAGGTTTGTCTTGAAAGGTTTATAAGTCATAATTAAAAATGAATTACCTTATAGAGAAAATTAATGGAGTTTATTTCCACAACCTGACTATTGCACTCTATAGCAAACCACAGCGATCCAACAATCATTCCGATAAAATCATTTTCCCCATCTTGTTCAAAAAAACGATTAACATATGTGTCACAATAGGAAAAGACTATCTCAACTTCCGTTTCATGCAGACTTCAAAGGTAAACGTGGTCCTGGACCTCCTAACAAGCTCATGCGTCCGGTTAGAGATTACCTCTTTAGTCTGATGTAGAGAGTCCTGAGGTGTGTGCGTTCATGTCATAAGGCAAATAATGAGAGAGCTGTGCTGGAATGGAGTGCAGTAGTGGTATTGTCTTACTCCTGAGAAGTATTGATTATATATGCAAGCTGCACAGAGTTTGGTATGCTGCCAACTACCATTCAGAAACAGTACACAGATATTGGAGATGCTCTTAGGTTTGCTATTTGAACATATTCATTTTGTATTATGATACTTTAGGCCACTATATATAACATTTGTTGAAAAAACTGTACGTTTCTTGTCTATTACAACCCACTGCTACTTATACCAACGACGGAAATAAGTGCAGTTACAAAAGCTAAATATGTGGAAGAGTGTTGCTATAGTGTGACGATAATATATTGCAATAGGTACTTCAAAGTCAATACCAAATCAAAACTAGTTAGCACATTATTTGTAATTGAAATGGTTTGATGACAATATGGTTATGGTTACACTTAAAATTGTTACATTAAAAAATTGCCTTGAAACGGAGGGTATATAACACAATTGGGATTTTTCTAAACACTGTTTTCTACTGTGCATTGAAAATTATTCTGATCTTTATTGGTGACCAAATCCACTGTCAAAAATCTAGTCAAGATAGTAAATTATAAATGAATATATATACACTCACCTAGAGGATTTTTAGGCACACCTGTTCCTTCAATGCATTTAGGGGTGTGGTCCTGGTCAAGACAATCTCTTTAACTCCAAACTGAATGTCAGAATGGGAAAGAAAGGTGATTTAAGCAATTTTGAGCGTGGCATGGTTGTTGGTGCCAGACGGGCCGGTCTGAGTATTTCACAATCTGATCAGTTACTGGGATTTAATTCATGCAAAACCATTTCTAGGGTTTACAAAGAATGGTGTGAACAGGGAAAAACATCCAGTATGTGGCAGTCCTGTGGGGGAAAATGCCTTGTTGATGCTAGAGGTCAGATGAGAATGGGCCAACAGATTCAAGCTGATAGAAGAGCAAATTTGACTGAAATAACCACTCGTTACAACCGGGGTATGCAGCAAAGCTTTTGTGAAGCCACAACACACACAACCTTGAGGCAGATGGGCTACAACAGCAGAAGACCCCACCGGGTACCACTCATCTCCAATACAAATAGGTAAAAGAGGCTACAATTTGCAAGAGCTACACTAAAATTGGACTGGAAAAATGTTGCCTGGACTGATGCGTCTCGATTTCTGTTGAGACATTCAGATGGTAGAGTCAGAATTTGGTGTAAACAGAATGAGAACATGGAGCCATCATGCCTTGTTACCACTGTGCAGGCTGGTGGTGGAGGTGTAATGGTGTGGGGGATGTTTTCTTGGAACACTTTAGTGCCAATTGGGCATCGTTTAAATGCCACGGCCTACCTGAGCATTGTTTCTGATCATGTCCATCCCTTTATGGCCACCATGTACCCATCCTCTGATGGCTATTTACAGCAGGATAATGCAACATGTCACAAAGCTCGAATCATTTCAAATTGGTTTCTTGAACATGACAATGAGTTCACTGTACTAAAATGGCCCCCACAGTCACCAGATCTCAACCCTATAGAGCATCTTTGGGATGTGGTGGAACGGGAGCTTCGTGCCCTGGATTTGCATCTCACAAATCTCCATCAACTGCAAGATGATATCCTATCTATATGGGCCAACATTTCTAAAGAATGCTTTCAGCACCTTGTTGAATCAATGCCACGTAGAATTAAGGCAGTTCTGAAGGCGAAAGGGGGTCAGACACAGAATTAGTATGGTGTTCCTAATAATCCTTTAGGTGAGTGTATATACATATGTGTGTATAACAGTTGTAATATTTTTCACAAATATTTAAAAGCTAAAAATATTTAGTTTTAAAAGCTTTCAAAAACATTAAAAGAAATCTTACCAACACCAATATACAGTATATGGGGATGTTGCATATAGTAGTTCTATTTCAAGGAATTGTCAAAAGAATGGCAGAAGTAAAAAGCATCCCAATAATTTCTAGAAATATTTTAGAGATGTAACCACATGATAAAGCAAACATGCTCATTATTGTTTAATTGTTTTTCTTTCTCTTTTGCAGTCGAGTGATCCTACCGATTTCTGTGGAGGAGGTAAGTGCAAATTTAGTGTGTACAGTCAGTGTGTGTGTTTGTACAGCACGCTGTGAACGCTGGTAATGCCACTGATCTCAAACATTGTTTTGCTATGTGTGTGTGGTATCAATCGCTGATTTACACGTGTTGAGGTTCGGATGACTCAGTCTTAGCTCGTTTTGACAGCAGAAGAGTCACGATGTAGTTTCGTGATGCTCTCCATGTGCAATAAGCCACAGATCACAGTCGTTCAGTCACTTGTGAGTCATTTATCTCAGCAAGAGGATGAATCTTTCTTCTCTCATGCTGTTTGATACCACACACCCCGTGTACAACCACTAATGCATCACTTCTCTTAGTGTGTGCCAGCATTAATAACTGTGCTTTTGGAGGTCAGCAATTCTCACACTTTGCTTCCTCTCTGTCTCTCATTCTTTCTTCTGCCCAATTCAGACTGAGCATTCCCTATGTCCCAGTCTCCTCATTTCCCATGATCCCCTAGCGTGTCATTCTATTCAGTGATCTGGTCGTGAATATCTAATGAGTTACCTGATACCAACTTCTTCTGCCTCTCTCTCTCTCAGCTTTTCTCCTCGTCTAGCCTCATGCACATTTGTGATCTGTAAGAAAATAAAATTCAAATTTCACTGTTGTTTCACTGTTGTTTGGGTTGGCAAAAGAAGTGGTGTGGTGCAGGTATGATGTCAGAACCTGGAATTTTTAATCACCGCAGGTTCCTTCAAGATTTTCCGATTGGGTTTTATAGTCGGGGATTTCAATTTATAAGTAAAATAAAGCCGTAAAAGAACAAAACGTCAAAGTCTAGTCAAGTTATGTTTACCATATGCTTAATTATTCACATAACATCCATTATAAACCCCTTAGGAAAGTCTCAAGTCTTCCGAGTTCTGATGTCATTGACCTACAGTGGTGGAGGATATACTGAATCTCAGTACTTAAGTAAAAGTACAAATAACCAGATAAATATTTACTTTAGTAAAAGTAGAAGTAACACAATGACAACCATACTTAAGTAAAAAGTAAAAAGTACTTTATTTTAAATGTACTTTAAGTATTAAAAGTAAAAGTACTTGCATAACAATTTATTATCTTAATGTCTATTTTCTAATGATTAATAAAACATTTAATTCTAGCTCATTCAACCTAATACTCCTATAATGATGTTCAATAATGATGGAAAAAATGTCACCATTTCTGAAACAAGCTTGCAATTAGGCAATATACACAAAATGCTTATCCTTACTATATAATAACTATGTTTGGCAGTAAACGAGATTAATTCATGGTGTAATTCTGAACCTCTTGGCTTGCCGTAATCCTAACCAAACCAAACATATACTACACACGGTGTGTTTCCTATGCACGTAAAAACAAATTTTCGCGTATGAGTTGCACGATAAACACACTGCGTGTGAGACGCATTTAGTGTGACCGGGTTGATATACTGTATCTATGGCAACCAAACGTCACTGGTGAGACAAACGTGCAACGAACGGACGGTCTGATTACGTTTTGGCAGGGGAAAAACTGATCAGAAAATGTAACGAAAATGTAACAGAAGTTGTAGAAATGTAGTGGAGTAGAAAGTATAATAATTGCTGCAAAATGTAACGAAGTAAAAGTAAAAAGTATGCACTATTTATTGTACTTAAGTAAAGTAAAGATACGTGAAAAATGTACTTAAGTAAAGTAACGAAGTATTTGTACTTCGTTACATTCCACCACTGTTGACCTATCATTTATTTTGTGGATGATGGAGGTCACTGTTTTGGCAGATTTTGCAAATATTACACACTGCTCCTTTAAGATCCAGTCACATGATTAATCATCTTATCACATGCAGTAAAGCACCTCAACTGCTTTCAGACTACTTGCCTCCAGCTGTTTATGTCTCTTTAAATCATGTTCTAGTAATCTGGTATCTTTGGACCTAAATATGCTGGTGGGATCTGTCCTGGGGGACAACCCCTTTTTGTGGGCTGCATCAAGCAAATTAAAGGGCCGCTTTAACCTTGTGAGGCCTCTCTTTTCATCTCCTCTGGTTTTTACATACCTCAGCATATTCCGCAAAAAAAGTACTGACAGCCAAGATCCATTTAGATTACAGTATAATTAGTTCTGTCACATAAAATATGTCTAGGACGATACATTGTAATATAAGTCCTGTCAAGTCAGAGCCTCCTCCTAGTACCCAGTGGGAGTTTAAAAGGTTAAAAAGACTTTTGAATTGCATTGATTTCATTAAGACAGCACAATTAAATGGATGTTAAGCAGATTGGATTCAACTTGAGTTGAATGAAACGAGGGTGGGGGAACATATCTAGTATCACTCTTTCATCATCATTTTAATCGATCAGTCAATTTTCGGTCAGAGTAATTATTGTTAAAATACTTAGCATAAAGGGATATCAGCTAAATATGACTGGCTGCTTGAGTGCCCCTTTTCTTGAAAACTATCCTTTAAAGGGATAGTTCACCCCAAAATGTAAATTCTGTCATTAATTACTCAACCTCATGTTGTTCAAAATCCATAAGACTTTTGTTTATCTTCAGAAATGAAGATATTTTTATTGAAATATTTTTTATTGAAATATATTTGTATCGGATCTATTTCTGTCCCTCCATTGACAGTTACGCAATTACCACTTTTTCTTTCAAAAAGTCCATAAAAAATAATAAAACTAATCCATTTGAATTAAGCGGTTTAGTCCAAATATTCTGAAAAGACACTATCACTTTATATGATGAACAGATTGAATTTAAGGCCTTTATTTATATATAAACTTTGATCGGTGAACATAAAGAGAAGTTCAACCGAACCTGCTTGACCTCTTGTGGAAGCTCAAACGTGCTGTGTAACACACGAGAATGAACCTCATTGGTTCTCGCACGTCAAGCGAACATGCCGCTTTCGTTTGCCACAACTGCTGTGCTCGTTGATGAATGCTTATGTGAATAAAAGCTTAAATTGAATCTGTTCTGCATATAAAGCAATCTCTTCGGAAAATTTTTGACAAAATCACTCAATTCATTTATCAACTTTTTAAAGTTTTTTCAAGTTTTTTTTCCAGTTTTTTCATTTCATTAAAAATCTTCATTTGAATTCTGAAGATAAAAGAAAGTCTTACGGGTTTGGAATGATTTGAGGTGAGTAAATGATTAAGAATTAAAATGTTTGGGTGTACTGTCCCTTTAAGGAAAGTCACTTAATTTATGAAGGTTGATTCATTTATTTACACATTACTTTGTTCTTGCCCAAATAAATATAATCTTGCAAAGTATACCTAGTTTGACTGTCACTTCAGTATTTTTAAATGCTGTGTAAATTGTGAAACATACAACATAAATAAAATAGTATATATAAATAGTTAAGTAATTAGAAGAATAACAAAGTGCAGTAAACTGTTAACCTATTTACCTAATGTGTAAGCTTTGCACATTCTAGTTAAAAATGGCCGCTCGCTCTTACATTAAAAATAACATGAGTAACTTAAATTTTAGGACCAATGTTGTCAGTGTATTTTAGATTAGCCTATGTTACAGTCCAAAATGAAGTCAGCAACATGTGTTGTTTTTGTCCCTTAACGAATCAGTTGAGTGAATGATTCAATGATTTATTTGTTTCTCTCCTAAATGAATCAGCATTTTGAACCAATCGTTTTACGAAATAATTCAAACTCATTCATAAAGACTAATTAAAATAAACATATAATGTGACTAAAAGTACAATAACCATTTCTTTTTATTTCTCTTACAATGTTTATTTTTATTTTTAATGGAGGATTGATCATGACAAAAAAATCTAACAAAATATCATGATATTACATTGATTTGGCCTCTTGCTGCAAATTTAGGCCATCCGTAACCTCCCCAATCTTCATAAAATTCCCAGAATCACCACTGGTTATTAGTCTTTATGGTTGCTTATACAAATAAACGACAATGACTGGCACATTCTTTTGAGTGCTGAGAGCAGCTCTTGTCAGATAAGCTCATATGAATTAAAGCCTTGATCCTTCATCTGCCTTCAGGAGCCTTAAAGACTGTTGTTGTTTAAAGCAAGAGGGAAAAGAACTATTCCTGGAGTCCATTCATTGAGCAGGGAATAATGGATTAAGAAAGCTTACTTGCTTAAGGGGGCAGCTGGGCAGTTTATGCCCCCTTGTGACACTCCCTCACTTCCTTGTTTAGCATCATACACACACAAACACCATAAGCTGTCTGTCAGTGTAGGCATGCTGGTGCGTGAGACATCCTTTCTGCCTGTTAGCCTGTCGATTAGTCTGAGCTCACATGTTTTAGCCTTTCCATCACCATCAGTGGTCTACAATCAGCAGGGCTTAACCAGACTTTCTTATAATCTACACATATCACATGCTGTTCATTCAAAAAGATTACAGTTTTATGCAATGTCACTTTAAAAATAGATATATGGCACACAAGTACAACAAATAGCACATCCGCTGCAGATGAGACGCCGTCTGATGCTGTGTGTGTGTGTGTGTGTGTGTGTGTGTGTGTAGTCTGTAGAGTGAGTGGGATGATAGTGTGTGATGTAGGTTGGATTTTCATAGAGTGCAGCAAAGTGACGCATACTGCTACTGGCCTCTGATTGGTTGAGAGGAGGAGAGGAGAGACGAAGTCTCTGATTGGCAGAGGACTGATGACACTGCATGTAGAGAATCACATCTATCTGTCTGTCTGTCGTGTCACCTCCTTCACTCCCTCTACTTCTTTTCACTATTTCTCTCCTCTATCTTTCATTCCATAAATGGTATAGGCAATCTGCTCTGTGTCATCATTTTCTTTCTCCTGTTCTCTCTCACACATACACTTATGTGTGATAGGCGGTACTGTATGTTTAGGGATGAATACCCACATTTAGACAGTCAGGCTGTTTAAGATTCTGAAGGTGTTTTAGGCTGAATCTCTGCTGCTGGCTCAGCTCAGACTCTTAAGTGGTGGCTGCAGACATTGAGCATGTGTGTCAGGACACTAAATCTCTCAGTTTAACACATCTACCTCACACTAGACCTATTTTACTAAACAATATCTGCCGATTTTCTCTTTTTATATTGTCATGACCATTCAAATTTGGGGGCATGTGCCAAGTGTATATTATAAAAGTTTTTGTTTTTTTATTTACTATGCAGTTTTATAATTAAGCTGTACATTTATTGTATGGAATGGCAGAGGGGACCCTAGTTGGAAAACAAAGTAATATATTTATAAACCATGGATGTAGAAAGTCCCAATATGAAATAGTGTTTGGAGGCTATTACGTGGATAAATGTTGGAACTGTAACTCCACCCCCCTTGAAAAAATCGGAAATGTTGCATGGCGCATCTTTTTGCAGATCATCTGCTTTAAATGGAAAATTAGCGTCATTAGTGTCACCTTTAATGGCACTTTAATGATAATTATATGATTTTGATGCAAAACGACCAATTAATGTGATTCAATAAAAATAATCCTATAGAGAATATATGGTTTCGGAAAACAGTAGTGACTAGCTAGTTGATTAATTCAATGATGAAACCACAATCAAACCACAATATTTGATATTTGAATACACAATATCCGATATTTGAAATTGAACTGCAGTACCTATTTCAACCTCTAGTTGTCATTCTTACAGATTGCACCTTTAAGTAGCGATTTGCATTGTTGTATGGGAAACGCACCCCTGATGGATTCAAACCGCTTACATGTATTTTTGAACTATGCATTAAGTCATTTGTAGTCATCCATTCAGGATCTTATCAGACTACACTGGTCGTGCTGTATGGATTAAAGAGAACCAGTTCAACAAAAGAATCATTTTGTTCAGGAATATGACTAAACTGTTTGCTTAGATTGTATGTTAGTTTTTTTTTGTTGTGCACAAAATGTTTCTTGCAGTTATTTTGCTGTATTTTTATTGAATCACATTCAATGCAGACTGCAAACTTGCATTCCCTTATCATTCATCTGCCTGTGCTTATTTGCAAAGTCTTTTTGTATTTTTTACTCGGTATGGTGCTGCATTGCATATGTGTGTTTATATTCTAACTATATTCTCTATAGGATTATATGTGATTAAGATATGAAATAGGCCATTGTTCTTTGACCAATCTGTTTAGCATAGATTAACAGAAGAGGAGGGAAACACACACACAAAGAGAGAGAGAGAGAGGAGACACCAGGATTAATATACAACAGTGTTCAAATATAACTGAAATATAGCTCAGACTGTGGAATGTATGGATTCCTGTCTTACAGTATCAGGTCGGGCAGCTGTACTCCGTAGCGGAGGCCAGTAAGAACGAGACAGGTGGAGGAGAGGGTGTGGAGGTGTTGAAGAACGAACCCTACGAGAAAGATGGCGAGAAGGGACAATACACACACAAAATCTACCACCTGCAGAGGTACTCACACTTACACACCCAGTGTAAATAAGTGTCAATTTACCAGATTCAACTTATTCACATATCCTCGCATCAATCCAATTAACAGTATACTGTAACCAGTATGATCTTTCAGAGGTTTAGCAAAATATTAGGTTAAAAAGTTAGGTTAGATGCTCAACTTAGAGTTTCCTAGTTTCTCTAGAAAAATTGGTGATCTGGCCTAAAAACAAGCCCAACATAATGAACCATTTCTAGAAAAACAAGCCTAAAATAAGCAACCTCTGGTTTTAGGTTGTGGGACATACATATCACACAGTCAGTCTGCATAGGGACTCGTCCAATCTCTGATTGGACTGCAGTTCTGACACACCCACCAAACAAGAGAAAACGTATCTCAAACCCCATTGCACACCAGTGCACGCCGTTTCCAGGAAACATGACGTAAATCCGGAAACCGTAGCAAAACGTTGCGCACCATTTATTTGAACTTAAACACGCCCCTGGTTAAATTCCTCAAACAAACAGAGCAATTGGTTGGAGACTCAAAAAAAGAGACCCATTTCGCGCTAAAATTGGTATTTGTAAAAAAATAAAATAAAATAAAAATCTACATCTCATTTGTATTTTTGCTTTTCCAGTAAAGTCCCATCGTTTGTAAGAATGCTTGCACCAGCATCAGCGCTGAACATTCATGAGAAAGCTTGGAACGCCTACCCATACTGTCGCACAGGTAAAACACGCACAAGCTTACATTTCTTTTCATGTGCTCTTTGTTCCTCTTGCTTTCTTGTTATTATCCTATCTGTTTCTCTCTGTTTCTCGGGCACTGAATAATTCACTGTTTGAGCAGAGAAGGAGTGGGGTTACAGCACAGGAAACTGAGATTATGCTGACACATTCCCTTCACACCATTCGCACAGCCACATACATGGCAGACTCTCTATTTGCTGAAGTCTGTTCATCAAGATATTTCCAAATCTTGTTGCAGTGCTAAAGTTTTGCTTTTGAATAAACTGTAAAAAATTGATATGGCAAATACTGAGTAGTAATACATTTTTTTATAATTTGATTGGATGATTTGTCTGAAATCTTTTTGGCCAGTTGTCCTCTAAATCTGTAAGTTGTTAGAAAATAAATAAGTTTTCCAGACAGCTATCTATCAATGTCAATATACATGAACATTGTAGTGTGTCAGTGGTAATACATTAGCTCCAGCTTCTACATTTCCTTCACAGGAAAGGTGCAAACATCTGTTTCAGGAATCAATATGAAATTTCACAAATATTCACTGCAAAAGTTGGCAACCTTAATACTTTGTAAGAATAGGAAATAATACATCTTAAAGTTGCAATGTAATTGTAGTAGTGAGGGATCTTTTCTTACGTTTTGTGAAACATATGAAGAGTTCAGATGCAAAAGCCTCTAAGTGCCATTTGAAATTTTCTTCTAGAATGATCATTTTTATCAAGCTTGTATATTTAAGTTCAGTCATTTCACTTAAATGGCAATGATAATTACCTATTAATTGTTATTTAAGTGAAATTACTGAACTTAAATATACAAGTTTGATAAAAATCATCATTAAAGAAGAAAATTTCAAATGGCATTTAGAGGCTTTTGCATCTGAACTCTTCATATGTGTAAAGTGTAAAGTTAAAGAAATCAAGCTCAAATACGAGATCAAGACATGTTGAAATTTGATGTCAAAAATGTCTAAAAATGAACGGATGAAATGTTTGCAATAAGATCAATAACATACATTAAAAGGGTCAGTTTAAATTGAATGCAGACTTTTAGTATTTACAATTGTGTATTCAAGCCAGCTTTCAACAATAGAATCATGCTTCTTTAAGCATGATTTATTTCTTGTTTTTTCTTTTTGTAGGGAATTTAGAGGGTACAAAATTAGTTAATTTTGTTTGTTATTTTGGCCTTGTCCACTCATGAATTTAACCCCTTTGTTATTTTTTTTTCTCTCTTTCCTTTTTTTTTTGTTAATAAATTTATATTTCTTTGAACGTTACCTTTGTGAGTGAGCGCATATTTATTTATGTTGTGGCCAGCCCTAGACGGTCGTAACAGTATAATATAATATGGATATTATTTGCAGTGTTTTTGGTTCCAGGTTGAATTTATATGGACTAAGATGAGATAAAATAAAATTAGGAATGGTCTTATTAAATGAGACGTGCTGTTTTCTTGAACAGAAATGGTCTAATTTATATCATCTTTCTTTTCTAATGCCTGTCCTGCATCACTTCAGTAATCACTGTAAGTATGCACTTCTCACAAGTATACACACACTTAGGACTCTTTCTTGTACAACCTTGTTGTTATATGACAGAATAAACATGTAGATGTATAGTAAGTTTAGCTGCAGTGAAAGGAGTGAGGATGCACATCCTTGCAGTCTGTTGATCAATTATAGCTTTATCAGTTTGTTCATTGATTATCTCTGTCTTAGAATGAGTATATGAAAGAAAACTTCCTTATCAAGATCGAGACGTGGCACAAACCTGACATGGGACAGCAGGATAATGTAAGTATTGTAATGTATGATGTTTGTGTGAACGCCGCAGTTTTGTGTAAAACCTGACACGCATGTTGCGTTCATCTGTCTAGGTTCACGGTTTAGACCCAGACACCTGGAAGAAGGTAGATGTGGTGTACATAGACATCGCAGACCGGGGTCAGGTGGAGCCAAAGGTGAGCTTCACTTAGATAAAATAGTTACCTTCTCCAGTTACATTCTAATATGATCAGTGTCATCTCTCTGTAGGACTATAAACCAGAAGAAGACCCCACTAAGTTTAAGTCTGTAAAAACTGGAAGAGGGCCGCTTGGTCCGGATTGGAAGGTATCTATAAGCATCGTTAATGACTGTGTACTGGTATAACATTTGTGTAAATATGCATGCTTGATGTGTGAGTGGAAAATGATGCTTAATGGATTTTGGATCTGTGTAGAAAGAACTACCTAAAAAGACAGACTGCCCACACATGTGTGCCTACAAACTGGTTACTGTCAAGTTCAAGTGGTGGGGCCTGCAAAACAAAGTGGAAAACTTTATTCAAAAGGTAAGTGTGTGAAACATCTACATTATGTGATTCATTAACCTGAAATTAAAATGTATCATACCGTATTTTATGTAAGGACATATTTTGGCACTGTTTTTTTCCACCTGTCATATAGGCTTTGCTTTATCTTACTTGTATTTTAAGTCAAAAACCACACAAAATCTGATGTTTACCAACCTGATCCAAACCACATTGTGCACTACCAATGAAAGGTTTCGGGGTCAGTACGATTTTTGAAATACTTTTATTTTGTAAGAATAGTTATTTAATTGATCGAAAGTATTAGTAAAGATATTTATAATGTGGCAAAATATTTCTAATTCCAATAAACGCTGTTCTTTTGAACTTCCTATTCAGTAAAGAATCCTGAAAACAATGCATCACTGTTTCCACAAAAATATTAAAGGAGCCATATGCAAGATTGTGTCCAAAACTGGTACTGCGATCACTTTCAAATTACTGTTGAGCAATGTAGTAATTAAAAAAAACGTACTAATATTTAACAATATACTATTTTTATATACTATATTATATACAATATATTATAATATATTATATACAATATACTATTTTACTTTTTTTTTTTCTCTCTTTTTAATCAAATAATACTGAATACTGACCCAAAACTTTTGAATGGAAATGTAGGATTGAAATCCGTTTTTTTTTAATTATTATTTTCTCCACATATACAAATATTATTACCTTTTAATAATAATAATTATAATAAAATAATAATAATAATAATATATTATATTACAAATATTATTTTTTATTATTACCTCCCTGTTTTTTAAAATTATTTTCTCCACATATACAAATACCATCATACAATTACAGTTACCACTAACTTAAATACAAGCATGTTTTCCAATTCCTGACAAACCTTCTAGCTTTTTAAAAATTCTTATTATGGAAGTAAAATTGGTTGTGATCACCATTTCATGTTGACTTTAAATAGGCATTTCATGGCATCTTTTGGACAGTTAGAACTACACAAAATTCATCTTCCAAAATGAACTTTGTACCTCTTACTTCCTTTAACAGCAAGAGAAGCGCTTGTTCACTAATTTCCACCGGCAGCTGTTCTGTTGGATTGATAAATGGATCGAGCTGAACATGGATGACATCCGCAGAATGGAGGAAGAAACCAGGAGGCAACTGGATGAGGTCAGATGAGATGCCCTTCAGCAGTTTTACACTGTCTTTGTCCACTATAAAATCCAGTTACCCTAATGAGCAAATTGCTCTGATATATTTTGGTTGTAGAATTTTTCAGAATGGAATTCCTTTGTTGTGAGATTGAATTTTTGTTGATGTTCTGTTGGCCCGCCTCACATTTTCCCACAGTACTACGACAATAACGTGTAACAAGGCAGATGAATAATTGAATGTAGTGTCATAATGAGGTCCAGTCGCTGTGAACAAAAGGGGCAGCAGAATGAAGTGGGTCACAGTTCAGCGCTCTCAGGTGCCGTCCAGGGAATGAGTGACGTCATGTATTGGCTGCATCCTGAGTTTCTCACACTTTAAAAGGACTATCGCAGAAATCAGTGTCTCCTCCTCGATACCCACAAGCGTTCCGTAATCTGTTAATAGTTGTGACAAATCAGGGTGAATTCCTGAATGTAATATTTAGCCCCTTCCTCTTCCGCAAGGAGTAATTCACTTAGTAAGCACACCTTCATCTTTCTCCATTGCTGTCTTTCAGATGAGAGTGAAGGATCCAGTGAAAGGAATGGTGGCTCTTGAAGACTGAGGCTGCTCTGTGTTTCTGGTTGCTGCTGTTCATAATGGTAATTCATGATCTTTATCGCCCCCTAACGTCATTTATCGAACATAGCAATTGAGAACTGACAAATAATGTCATATTTTCTAGTAAATGGACTCAGTAAACTGACATGTTTGCACTATTATACTATAATCCTAACATTATGTTGCAGTTTACATGGTATGTTGAGTGTGCACATTTTGTGTATGCCTAGAATACGTCCACTGTGCATTGCACTTGAACTTTCATTGCCATTGTGATGCATGGGCCGGGTGTAATTACAGCCACAATCTCAATTTTGACTTGTTTGAATGAACAAAATGAAAATCATTTAAAAAAAAAAATTATTTTCAAATTGATAATATGCCGCTTACATGCATTGTGAGAAAGGTCATGTTCTCATGTATAACAATGTAACATGGTGGAATAATAATATCCCTTTTATTTTCGAACATTTATTCATGATATCTAGATATGGTACATGTACATTATTTTAAACTTACAGTTTGGGGTTGAGGTTTCTTATTGTCATTTATTTTATAAAACAAATATGTTAAATAATGTAATATTGTGAAATATTATTACACTTAAAAATAACTGTTTTCTATTTTAATATATTTTAAAATGTAATTTATTTCTGTGATGCAAAGCTGAATTTTCAGCATCATTCTTCAGTGTCACATAATTCTAAGCTAATTTTAAGCTCAATAAACAAAAATAAATTTTTTTTAAATACATTTAATGCTTAATTTGAGTAAAATTATTATTTTCTTAAAAACCACAGTTTAAAAGTAGTACTGGACAGTATTTAGTAAGCAGCATATCAGTAACATAACTGTGGTGTTTAACTTTTAAAGTAATTTAATTCTCTTGTTTTCTCTCTCTCTCTCCTGCCATTGAATCTCTGTCAGTTTAGGTTGGAGACCAGCAGCATCTCTTCCCTCAATCAAATCAAAGAAACATGTCTTTTTAATTGTGATCAGTCCTTCATCCAGCCCTATTCGTGGCCGTTTGTCCTGAGTATCCTCCATTTCCTCCTTTCAGTCTGACAATGGAGCACATTGACTAGTTAAATAAGCTATTACTTGTCTGGTTCAAAAGTCATGCCCAGTCTATGAAGTCTACCTACTTTATACGGGACGATCAGCAGTTCGTCATTTATGATGTCAAACCATTATATTTAAATCTGGAGCTCAAAAAAGAATTGTGTTTAATGTTAAGCAGATGACATTTGTATATATATATATATATATATATATATTCAGAATATCTATTGGCAGTGGAGTATTGTGACAGGTGTACAAACAGGGTTTAAGTGATTTTATTTTTTTCCTGCGGACCAAGACGTTTTTTTTTTCTGTTTTGTTTTAATCAAGTAGTGAGTTGTTTTTGTTGCTCTGTTTTCATTTTATTCTACTCACTTTTACATTTATTTAGCAGCTGATCCAAGCTGCAAGTGTGTCTCTTTATAGTATAGCCTGCTGTAGTGCACATTCACAGTCCCTTCACCCTGACCCTTATTTGTAACATGCATTGTGGATTCGTCTTGACTGACAGCTGCTTGGTCACGTTAAATACAGTTCATATGTTAACGCAAAGTTTATTGAAATCAGCTCAGCATTGCTACATCAAACAGTATAACATTCTTGAAATAAGAAGTTAAAAGTATTGTTGTTGTCCTCTCTTCTCATGCACAATTGCCTTGTGTGTGACAATGTGCTATTTTGCTTGGAATTTTATTCATTTATTTTATTAATTAATTTATTTTAACAAAAGAACAGGTGTACAGTAGGCGCAGCTCGCCCTCGCTCATCTGTTTTTGATTGGTTTACAACATCAGGTTCCGCCCTCTTTAGTCAGTGTCTCAACCGTATTGAAAAGAGAGGTACCGCTAAACCTTGACATTTTTCATAAAAGGTTTATTTATTGAAACCTTCTTAATGCTATTATAGAAAACGTTACTTGTCCTGACTATTCTGTCACTATACCAGAAGTGGTGCTCAAGGAGGATATTCATAAATGTATTATTTATAATTGTCTCACCTTTATTTTTTATTGAAGGATTGATTTTCTTACTTCCCCTTTTATAACTTATGATGAGGATAAAGGTGCTTTTATCCAGATATTAGCAATAATACCTCCTTTCACAAAACCTTCCAATCAACACATAGCCTACATGATGTGAGATAGTGACTTTAGGAGTGTAGTCCACCCCCTCAGAATGTCGCGTCCTAGGACTTTAATGCAAATATACTCTCACTTCCATTTGCTCCTAGTTTTATCGATATGGAATCGGCTAAGGAAGTTGAAATGGGTTGCGTATAGGTTTTTAAATCAGTCTTTTCTTAGTAACGTAATGTGTGTATGGATGTATGTGCGTTTGAAGTTCTCAGTGTTTCTTGTTTTCGCGTGAGGGACATCCAACATGTAACTAAAACAAAAGGTTTACATCCTTGTGTTTCTTTCAGCCAATGCTCAGGACCCATGATGTAAGATCGTCACACCTAAATTCACTTTGACAAAATTCAGTTACAACCATTGAATTATGTCGAATTCTTAGGAAGTGAAAGCAGGTAAACATTTAGGCTACCATCATAATATAACCACCGATACACCAGAACTGTGTTGGTCCTGAGTCTAATCAAAGTGATGTATGGATTTATGTATTGAATTGTATATAGTATATAAATAAATGTAGATGAACACATAACATATATAAATATATAAATATATAACTATAAATATAGTTCAGACTATCCTGCCACCAGGCTACAGCCTTCCATCAACTCAACCAGAGCTAGCAGTTTAGTAATGGCTGGATATTATCTGGGTGAAGTTACTGTGTTCTCTTTTTTTAAGATAAATTTGAACAAATTGTTGCATTTTATGCTGGTGTAGGGAATTATAAACTAGATTATAAGTGATTTGAACAGTTTATAACAGAATCTTCAGATAACCCCGCCCATCACTGTCGCTGGCTCCGCCCCTCGCCGCTACTCTTTGGCAGGATGGTGTCTAAATATGTTTTCATTCATTGATTGTTGTTGTATTTTTGCTGTGAGCTGTAGAAATCTCCCACTTTCAAATTGCTTTCAAAGCTTACACTGTGAACGAAGCCATGTTTATGAACTGTGTGCTTGAGAAAAAGCCCTTTTTGGGGGGTTTTGGTTGCCATTCTTCTCTCAAGAGACTCGATTGAAACTTGATCAGTCCAAGTTGGTCTTTGACTGCAAGTACAGTTCATATGTTAACGCAAAACAAATGGTTTTGGCTTATAAAAAGAACTATCCACATTGAACAGTTGTTACGTGAGGCAGATTGTGATAAACTGGACTTTCTCATAGATATGTTATTGTTAGATTTCACAATTTGTTGTCGAAATTAAACCCAATGATTCTAGAAATACAAAAATATATATATGAATCTGTTTTCTTTCACCTCACCTTGTCATGTTATTTGTTTTTATTTATTTATTTTACTGTGAATTTGTGCCTTTTGTCATCTTATCTTCCAATAAAACTACATTGGAGATGTGAAAAAAAATAAATAAACTTTTAAATAGTAGTGTTTCACTTTTACATGTTTTTCAGTTTTAAGAATATATTATAGGCTAATGTTGTTTTTTTTTTTTTTCTGCTGCTACCCTAGTGCACGTTGCTGACATGAGTTTGAGTCTGGCTTGCAACATTTTCTAACATTTCCCCCTTCATTTATTGTCCTCATGCAAATAAAACCAATTTCTTCATAATTTCCATAGTAAACATGTCTAGTTATTGTAACTTAACCCATTCAATGACCCCACTCAGGACATGCATAAAGAAGGATGGGGGGTCACTGAAAACCCTCCCTTCATTCAGTAAAACTTCATTCAGCCTAATCAGGATTAGATGAAGCCAGATTAAACTAACCCCTGCTTATGAGTCCTTCAGAAATAGGAATGTGTTTGATTAAGACAGTTGGATTGCATTTTCACAGTAGTTATATGAAACAAGTTTAATTTTTTATGTAGGCTACTGATTAATACTCTATACCGATATTTGGATTGCATTTTCACAGACACAGTTAAAGTTATATGACATGTTTAATTGTTTAAAAACTGATAGGCTACTTGATAAAAAAAAAAAAAACAAGAAGGTAAATCGATTAGTTCAGCTTTGAGATCAAAGAAAGAAAAAAAGAAGTCCTCATTTAGATCAGCTTTGAAAGCTCACTCAACGGCTGTCATGTTTGTAACAAATAGCCTAAATCTTTATAGTCAGGATAATTATTTCTTTACAGACAGTGTATAAAACTTAAGTAGCCTATACTTAAATCATTGTGGCTAGGCTACTAGGCTATAAACCGCAAGTTCATGAATAATAAATGGTTCATTTTTTATGCTAATATCGCTGTATAGCTCTTTTAAACGTCTCTGTGATGATGTATAACGACTCATGATATTAGACTAACTGTTCATGAAGATAATAGACAGTGGTGGAGGAAGTACTGAATCTCAGTACTTAAAGGAGCAATGTGTGATTTTTAGCGACATCTAGTGGTTCGGTTGCGAGTTTGCACCAGGTTTGCACTAAGGGCTCAGCCCACTGCTCACCCCTCCCTTTCGAAGAAGCTACGGTTGCTAAAATGGGACAAACATCTCGTCGGCTGAGACAGCAGAGAATAGCCAGAGTAAGCCAAGAGTGTGTAACATTGTCACTGTTTCTGTACCACAGTCCATTATAAACCACATCATGGATACTGTTTACAAAGCCATAGTCAGGTGAGGATCAAGGGTTTTAATATATAATTTAATATAATAATAGTAATCAGCTGATTGTCTCACAAACGTAACCAGCAGCACATTTCTCCACACATACTGTAGCAAACCCATAATACAGCGAGGGAGCAACTATATATTTTTTTCTAACAGGGTAGTAATAGTTTAGTTGGCTAATATGAGCTGTTACTGTGGCTGAGCTGGGACGCGTCGGCATGAGTCCAAAGGTCGGAAGTGCGCGCGCTGTTACAATCATGTCATCTCCGCATCCCATAGATACTATTTACTTTTTTCTCTGATTTTGAAAACTCTTCGCGATCGACTTTAGTGATCTAAAAGTCTCTATCGACAGGTTAGTGATTCCTGTAACGTACTGTTTTACGGTCAATGACATGAATACTAATCATCAGCTGTCTCACGAACGTAACAGCACATCTATCCCCAACATAACAAACCCATAACACAGCGAGGGAGAACTAAGTTACATGAAACAATCCCAACTACATATTTTACACCACTCACAAGGGAAAAGTCACTACTCACGGAGTGTAAGGCTAGCTTCCAGCTTTCCGCTACTTCTCTTTCAAGGTAGTGATGAAACGCGTTCTGTAGCACTGTTTGTTCGCGTTCGGCTACGGTAGGAATATGACGTCACAACATGGCGACCTTCATAGAAGGGGATTCCCGCGGTTATGGAGCTATTAATGTCTCATTCTAAGGTAATAAAAACATTACGGTTAATTAAGTAAGTTCTTTATACAGCACTGAAAACATAGTTATGGATGTCATATTGCATTTCTGTTAATAGATACTCAACTTTTTCACACATTGCACCTTTAAGTAAAAGTAGAAATACCCGGATAAATATTTACTTTAGTAAAAGTAGAAGTAACACAATGACAACCATACTTAAGTAAAAAGTAAAAAGTACTTTATTTTAAATGTACTTTAAGTATTAAAAGTAAAAGTACTTGCATAACAGTTTATTATCTTAATGTCTATTTTCTAATGAAACTTGCTACTTGCTACTTAACCGGGCTTTTACCCCCTCATAACTTGAGACAGGGAAGTTTGAGGATTTAATTCATTACTCTCCACATTAAGTGTGATAGGTAAGAATAAAGTGATCAGTTCATAAAGTTATAATAACATAGACCGTTTCCCGGGAGGTACACATAACGTTACTTACAAAAATAAGTTATCAATGAAATAAATTCAGCAAATAAATGTTGTACTAAAATGTAAATGTTTGACAATAAATATATAACAGTAATAGAATAGCTTTACAGTAAACAGTTTTTTTTTGTTTTTTTTTTTTGCAGTACTAGCCTATCTTATATTAATGACGCAAGACCATGTAAACAAACAAAAAAACACAGCCAATGTCCAAAGTTGCAATTAGTTAAGATCAGCGCATCAATGATCATCATGTTTGTAGCATGATCCAGGGGATTAAAACGTCCAAAATATATTTCAGGCCTAGTGGAGTTGGTAACTAATAATAGTAGTAAAAGTGTAAACTTGCATACAATGGAAATACTCACTAATGCAAGAAAAAACTACCTAAAAAAACTGTTATCTGAGCTGGTGTCCAGTAACTCCAGTTGGAATTTTCACCCCGATATGGCTGCCGCGCTACCCAAGCGCCATCTAGTGGCCGTTACCAAAAAAGCATCAGAGTTTCGCCTTGGCAGTAAACGAGATTAATTCATGGTGTAATTCTGAACCTCTTGGCTTGCCATAATCCTAACCAAACGAAACATATATTACACACGGTGTGTTTCCTATGCACGTAAAAACTAATTTTCGCGTATGAGTTGCATGATAAACACACTGCGTGCGAGACGCATTTAGTTGATATACTGTATCTATGGCAACCAAACGTCACTGGTGAAGACAAACGTGCAACGAATGATTACGTCAGATTACGTTTTGGCAGGGGGAAAACTGATCAGAAAATGTAACGAAAATGTAACAGAAGTTGTAGAAATGTAGCGGAGTACAAAGTATAATAATTGCTGCAAAATGTAACGAAGTAAAAGTAAAAAGTAGGCACTATTTATTGTACTTAAGTAAAGTAAAGATACGTGAAAAATGTACTTAAGTAAAGTAACGAAGTATTTGTACTTCGTTACATTCCACCACTGATAATAGAAAGGGCAAAGATTTCATTTATGTAGGCTGTAGTCAACAGAGAACCCTTCTGTTTTCACCTAGGCTAATCAAAAGGATTGCGATAACGCATAGTTTAGACACAGTCGAGTCTTTCATAACTTAGCTAAACCTTTTAGGCTTTTATATTATGAAACAATAAGTAGCTACTGTGGCTTTAAGAGGTTTCTGTGAATTGGTGAGAAGGGTGCAAACACAAACCCCAAACTCTCACAGTGTATCCTATAGCACGCACCTGTAAAGCACGGAATAGATCATTCAAGACACCTGCAGAATCTGTACAAGACCGAGGCTGAAAGGTATTGTTGTTGTTTTTCTGTGCGCGAGGATGGCTTATATTTTTTATTTTTTTGGCTTATTCTTTAAACGTTACTTAGTAGCCTAAAGACTTTGATTGATTTTGATTTTTGGACGGTATACTGCTAGCCTTATTTAAAGGAGCTTTAGTTGTCGTAATATTTAAAAGAATATCCTAAATATTTGAAGTTTATTCGATGGCTGTTTAAATCCTATATCCCACTTGTTCATAGTGACAAGCTGTGACAAACAGCACAATTGTTAGGCTACAAAGAATAGATAAAGATCAAATAACACATTACATTAGTCTGTAAGAATTACACTTGAAAAACGACGTTTATGCCATTACAATAACCATTTAATTATTATTATTATTATTATTATTATTATTATTATTATTAATAGTACAATCATTTTATTTATGCGCCTTTCATGGCATTCTGACACTGTACGTTACAGTAAGTTAGTCAGACCATCAAGTAACGACAAAGAAAAACGCGAATCAAACAAAATGACCTAAAAGTATGTTTTCAGCGCTATCAAACAACATTTTAGTAATCATAAAAGTAGTAACTTACACTACAACTAGTTAGGCTTAAGGCTACAGCACAATAAATCGCAAACACAAGTCATTTTAGCTTGAGGTAACCATAGCAACCGTGCTGCGCGTTCCGTTATTGAAAACATAAATGTATTTTCGCTTTATCATTGGTTTTCATAAATGTATGATCAACATATTTTTGTTTTTTTGAAAAGCCGTTATGCTTGTACGCAACAAAATACAATACAACTTTTTAAAGGATTTGAGAACCCAGTCAAATAACAAAATGCGTTATTTTTTATTTATAAAAAAGAATCATCATTGAAAATGTGTATGCATTTGTTTTTAATGGGGAATGAGCATCACACTAATCCAATCAGTAACCTCCAGATTTTTATTTAATCATTTTAAAAAGCTTTTCAGCTTGAATAAGACAGGATTAACTCTTTTAGATTAGATTAATGTTTGAATTATGTATGCGTGTTTATATGTTTTTTTTTCTTTCTTTTTTTTTTTTTTTTTGTGTGTGTGTGTGCACAGATCCGATTATGAGCGCACAAAATGTTGGATCCAGAGGTGGACATCAGGCTTTCAGGTAACACCGTCCTTAATCAATTAAATGAACCCCTCTTCACTTCAAAATAACAAGACTGAGATGAAAGAAATGAGGCAGAGAGACGGACATGAAGTGAAAGGAGTTCAAAGTATAAAGTTTGGCTAAATTTAATGTCCATCATTACTGACTGTTTCTTATTGCATCGAACCAAATTATGAATGTTGGTGTTTCGTTCAAATGTTCATTGTCCTTATGCACCTGCTCTCTCTCTCTCTCTCTCTCTCTCTCTCTCTCTCTTTCTGCTGAATGCTTCCTTGCCCCTAAGAATTTGCATGTGACTGCATTATAGAGCAACAAGGTGGAAGGATAGTTAGCCTGCATTTGAGAATTGGATTGTTTGTACTAATTTGGTGCTATAAGCTAAACTACAAGTTAGATACCAAAATATGTCTTTATGTTCTCCCATTTTCAACCCTTGCCCCATATCTTTCAGAAAATTATTAGTTTTTTTCTTGTAGGGTCCAAGAAATATTCACAGCATTGAGGCCAAAACTTAAATAAACCGGATTATCATCTGTCGACATTCACTTGCTTCGCTCAAGATTTGCAACAATACACACAGGGATTTGGAGATCAGGCCTGCTAGTGATTTTTGCATTTCGTATTCCTGGCCTCATTCACGTGGTTCTCCGCTGCTCCAGATTACAGTTCCTAATCCCAAACACTCTCCAAAAACGCATGCTTTTACTCACACTCGTTCATTCAGGCAACAGGATGCAATGAGAACATTTAGCAAAAACGGTTTCATTTACGGCGACCGCTAACTACTTGATTTTTGACGGATTTCTGAGATTTTTTTGGTGGGGTGAGGGAAGGAGTATGATTTGAAAATGAGAACTGTTTCTGAGACAAAATTAGAAATTTAAGCCTTGTGGAAGAACATAAGCTAAACCTAAACCAGGTCTTGGATATATGGAGTTTCTTGGACATCTAGAGCTAAGAAAAAACAACCAGTAGGATATAGAATCAACGAATAAATCAACTCACTCAGACTATCAGTTGTATCGGAAGACTTGCAGAAAGATGTCGGATACATTTGACTTCCCACGCGTGCGCTCTGAGAGTATGTCCTCCATGGCGTCTCAGTCTACTTCAGCACGGCTGGTTCTTCGCCAGCGGCTCGCTCAGTTGCTCACTTGCTTGGAGGATCTCAGCTCAGATGATGAGGCAAACGAAGAAGTGTCCCGTACGCTGGACGAAGCATTTCACCTATGTGGACGATACAACAGCAGAGAGTCTTTCAGGTGTATTGAGTCACTGACTTTTAGAGTTCATATCTGAAAATGAGTTTTAGATTGACTTCTGTTGGAGGGAGAGAAGGTGTAGATTGTTTGCCAGCAAGTTCTCTGAATGTTTATCTAACATATTTGATCCTTTTCCACAAGTTTTTCCTCAGATATGCAATTCAGAGTTGATTAATTCATTCCTAGGCTGTTTGATTTCACTTTTAGACATACATTAGCAAACTTACCTAAGCCTTGGTTTGGACTAAGGGAGCAAGATACACACTTCAGGCAGATCCATAGACCACAATGCAACACGGTTGTGACGTCACAGCGGATTCTTTAACACTACACAGCTCTAGTGTATGATATTGGACTTGTGGCTATACCTTAAGCTGATTGTTGAAGTCTATTGTTATCATTTTCAGTTGTATCATTTTTTTTATATTTTCCCCAAAAGGGGGAAAAAAAACCTTGTAAATCAAGTGATCAAGGGTTTAGGCCATTCCATTTAAAGCCATTGCGAGGGTTCTGCTAGCAGTAGGCACTCGTAAGCAATGATGCGAGGGAAGGGCATAAAAAAATGGACTTTAAACACTGTTAAAAACAGCCCTTTTCAGTTTGAGTCTTCTTCTATTGTTTAGGCTGCACATGGTCACGTGGAATGTTAGCACAGCAGAGCCACCTGCTGATGTGAGGACATTACTGCACCTTGACTCACAGCCGGCCACTGACCTCTATGTGATTGGGTGAGTTATAGTGAATCACATGATCACATTTATACTAAAAAAAGGTTGTCAATTTTAATTAACTTACTAATTTATGCACTACCTTTCAAAAATATGGGTTAGCAAGTCTGTTATGCTCACCAAGGCTGCATTTATTTATTAAAAAATACAGTAAAAATGTATTGTGAAAAGAAAAGATTCATTTTTTAAATAACTAATTGATTCCTGTTATGGCAGAGCTGAAATTTCAGCAGCCACTACTCCAGTCTTTAGTGTCACATGATACATATATGTCATATTCCATTCCATTCCATTTAATCACTTACCAGATGCTTTTATCCAAAGCGACTTACAAATGAGGACAGCAAAAGAAGCAACAAGCCAACATTATGCAAATGCTGTGACTAGTCCCAATTAGTCTAGCACAGTACACGTGATATATATTTATATTACAGATTACAGTTTCTATGTATTCTATCACATCATATATACAGTGATGTGACATAATAAGCAGATGTGTTTGTGTTTCAGTCTACAGGAAGTGAAGGCCACTCCAGTGCAATATGTCTCTGATCTCATTGCTGAGGATTCATGGAGCCTCCTCTTCATGAACACTTTGGCACCAATGGGATATATCAAGGTACAGCATAAATAAATAACTGTGTGTGTGTGTCTTAGCATTACAAGCTCAGTTTAGAGAGTGTGGAAGACAGAGAAGTGTTTACATATGTTTATATGCAGTTGCAACTGTTACAATAACAGAAAGACAGAATCAGGATGAGCCGTCTCCTCATTAAGCTTGTTAAGCTCCATTGTTCTCTGCAGGCCATGAACACACTAGAGGCATTGTTTCACGCTAGCATATTTGTGTAACGTAAGCACAGATTTGATGTGAGCCCACCCCATTCTGCCTTCAATGACTAATTAGCTCTGATTTTGAAAACTAAATTCCATTTCACCAAAAACATCCCAGGAATTTCCAGGACCAATCTCCTTATTTTCTTTCTGTAATGTATCAAGGACTTCATTCACTCCATTCTAAGCTTAAATGGATAGTTCACTTTTGAGCTTACCTTAAGGGCATCCAAGATGTAGGTGTCTTTGTTTCCACAGTAGTTTCAATTTTGATATTTTTAGGTCAAACCGTTCTTGTCTGTCAGTCATATAATGGAGGTCTATGGTCACCACCTCAAAGAGCATGCACAGAGAAGTCCAAATTAAACATGATTTAATGACTCGTAAATGTAAGTACACATTAATGGCCTAAGACACGAAACGAGCGGTTTGTGTGAGAAAACGAACAGAATTTATATTGTTTTTACCTCTTGTAACCACAGCCACGTCCAACTGCTCTGAGGGCGCGGACGCTTTGGTCTGCGCAAGTGCCGGAAAGCGTCGGAAGTGATATCTCGCGCGTGAACGTCACTCATTGTTTACACAGAGATTTCGGAAGCGGTACCTTTCACTGTGAAGATCTAAAAATATTTAGATGCACAGGAGATCGCAATGGAAGACAATTTCGATATATCAACAGACAACGTTGAATTTTTTCGCAACCGCGTGAGAGATCACTTCTGGCACTTGCGCAGACTGAAGCGCCCGCGCCCTCAGATCACTTGGACGTGGCTGTGATTACAAGAGGCAAAAACGATATAAATACTGTTCGTTTTCTCACACAAACCGCTCGTTTCGTGTTTTAGGCCATCAATGTGTACTTACATTTACGAGTCATTAAATCATGTTTAATTTGGACTTCTCTGTGCATGCTCTTTGAGGTGGTGACCATAGACCTCCATTATATGACTGACAGACAGGAACGGTTTGACCTAAAAATATAAAAATTGAAACTGCTGTGGAAAATTAAGACACCTACATCATGGATGCCCTTGAGGTAAGCTAAACATACCACAAATTAGTTTCAAAGTGAACTATCCTTTTAAATATGTTTCCTCGGTTTTGTAGAGGTTGAAGCCATGTGTGACGTTTCTGTTGAGAAGCACACTGAGGTTCTGACATATGAAAAGAGCTTGAAATTTTTGCTGTCCTCAGGTGACTTCAGTGAGGATGCAGGGTTTGCTGCTGATATTGTTTGCAAAGCAGGACCATCTGCCTTTCATCAGAGACATCCAAAGTACATACACCCGCACTGGCCTGTTTGGATACTGGGTACAGCCTTTACATCCTGACATTTCACAGACACTTTCTGTCATACCCTGATTTCCTATTGATCCCTATGGTTTGTCTTCAAAACAATAAAAATATTGTGAAATATTATAACAAATTTCAAATTACTGTTTTATATTTTAATATATTTTAAATATAATTTTTTCCTGTGATGGCAAAGCTGAATTTTCAGCACAATTTCTCCAGCCTTCAGTGTCACATCCTTAAAAGTCATTCTAATATTCTGATTTGCTGCTCATGTAACATTTTTCTTATTATTAACAATGTTAAAAACTGTTGAAAGGTACAGTAGTATGTATATTTAATATATATTGAGTAAAAAAATCGTTTTATAGGTGTGAATATGTGAGTATGAATGGGGAGTCTGTTGTAATAATATATAGCTGGACTAATGAAGTATTGTTGATTCTTGCAGGGAAATAAGGGTGGTGTTTCTGTGCGTTTCTCATTTTACGGTCACATGCTGTGTTTTCTGAACTGTCATCTGGCGGCTCATATGAACTACGCCCTGCAACGCATGGATGAGTTTGAATATATACTGGACATGCAAGATTTCGATATGTACAACACACCGAATGTGCTAGACCACAAGTCAGTGCTAATTTGGATTAAAGTTGCTCATGTTCATGCATCCGAAAATACAATGTGCTTCTCATATTGCTGTTGTTTTTTTCTCCTAGGGTGGTCTTTTGGTTTGGTGATCTGAACTTCCGTATCGCTGACCATGGGATGCACTTTCTCCGTTCCTCGATCAACAATGGCCGTTTTAACCTGCTGTGGGAGAAAGATCAGGTCAGGCAAATACACACTTTTCTGAGTCCATGGCTCTATATCAAATCCCAGTGAGCTGCCTACAAAGACCACATTTTTAGGCACTCACTCCAGATGTTAAATACCATCCTGTCATTTAATAGTTTTTTATGTTAACATACTCTACAAAGAAGTGTTTGACACAGAAAAGGCATTTACAGAACCCACAGCTTTGAATTTGGCAGGCAAAGTCAAGGGAAATGCTGTTTATTAATATATGTGTTAGGTATCACTTTATTAGCTTAGCAACTTTCCAATGTCAAATTGTATTGAAAACAAGAGACAAGTGTTAGAAACTGTTAATTTAATATGCACTACACTATTCTATTCTATTCTATTCTATTCTATTCTATTCTATTCTATTCTATTGTCTTAGTTGACCATGATGAAGAAGAAAGAACCTATTCTTCAGGAGTTCGAAGAGGGACCATTGTGCTTTAAACCCAGCTATAAATTTGACCGTTTCTCTGAGACTTATGATACAAGGTATCACTCACACACAACACATCATTAACATAATACAAACACACTCTTTTCAATGCATGCATGTAGAAACAGTGTCGGGTATCAAAATCCATTGAGAGTCTAAAGTGTTTTCTTAAAAGAAAATCATGATCATTCTTTCTCCACACAGAGCACCGAAGACATGGTTTGGCTTTACGTAAGATTTGATAAGCAAAATTTGTGTTTGTTGCATGGCCCCTATGTCTACCTTAACCTATTACCCAAATATCCTCTCACTTCACATCCCCGTAAAATACTGCACACTTAACATTCAAGTTTCCGTAAGCATTTCATGTCCTTGCAAATGTAATGTGATTGGTGTTTTATGGTGTCACAGATATTTCCCTCATTTAAGCTCTCATCTGTTTGCTAAATTGTACTATGGATAGTGAAATATGTTTGGGAATTTATGTTTTGCTGTGTCTGTAATGGAAGCTGAGTTAGTTTGTATATCAAACCTTTGAATGTGAAGTGAAATGTAGGAAATCATATATACACCATCGACTCTATCCGTTCAATGTCCATCCAGCCGTTCCTACAGACTAATATCATTTAACACATGACCACATGTCCATGTCAGTGTGTCATTGGGCTTCTAAAAGCTGTCTTTTTTTTTAAAGCTGTCTTTTTTTGTCACTTTATGTTTGACGCATTTGCATGTATCATATTGTAGAATTAGATCACAGCATATCAGTCACATGTCTGCATGTACACAACTGCAGCACACTGCAAGGACACACTATATCCCATCTGCTTCAACAATGACAATAATAAATATTTGAGCCCAAAATCAGCATATTAGAATCATTTCTGAGGGATTTTGTGACACTTATGATTGGAGTAATTGGCTGCTGAAAATTCAGCTTTGCCATCACAGGAATACAATGGTGTACAGTATATGTAAAAAAAATGTACATTTTAAAATATAAACTTAAAATATATTCAAGTATTTTAAATTCTAATTATATTTCACAATATTATGTTTGGATTTTTGATCAAAATATACTATAATAAAGTTAAGTTCTCCAAGACTACAACCTCACTCTGCATTTACATTAATATTAATATATATATTTTTTTATATAATAGTATTACATTCCATCTCTCTCTCTCTCTCTCTCTCTTTTTTTTTGTTTTTTTTTGTTGCATGGATCAATTAGTGGTAAAAAGCGGAAGCCTGCCTGGACGGATCGTATCTTGTGGAGGATAAAACCCAAAGCTGCAGAGACAGAGGATGAGAATAGTTCGACAACATCATCAGTTGGCGATGATGAGTATCCTGTTAAGGTGATGCAGGACATGTACACCTCTGATGTCTCATACGGGGTCAGTGACCACAAACCTGTCATTGGGACCTTCAATCTGGAGGTATGAATTATGTATTTCTTGAACATTTCATCAATAAGATGACAATGGACTTCACTATGAATCAAATTGAAGTAAACAAGCTTATAGTAATCATTAATAATATCTACTTTTCAGTGCCCATGACATTACGGCCAAAAATATAATGTATCACTCTTTGATCTCATCATGCAGATGAGGAAAAAGGTGGACACACCTCTAGTCACACTGACAATGGACGGACACTGGAATGCAGATGAAGATAACACATTCACCTACACCATCCTGGAAAACTTTGAATCCTCAACCTGGGACTGGATCGGACTGTACAAGGTGAGGGTGAGGGTGACTAAGAGAGAGAGGTTGATGGATGCATCAAATAGGTTGATGGATGCACAAAAACATAGAAAGAGACAAAAATGAGATCTGTATCACAAATCAGGACACTAACTAGAGGTGATTTATATGCAGATTGGCTTCAAAAGTGCCTCCGATTACTCCACCTTCACCTGGGTCAAAGATGATGAAGTGGCTGCCAATGGTGAAGCTGTGACGGTATGGAGACAAAGTTCTGGTAAAACTTTTGAATACTGTTCGGTCATTAATGAACAACTACAGAAACAAGTGAGCAACACGCTAGTAACTACTATTAGCTAATAAGAAACCTTGATTAATGAATTAATAAGCAATAACGCTCAGGTGAATGTTGTGTTTTTCATACCTCCCAGAGAACTACAATATACAGGTTCATAATTAAAATAAATAATGCATAACGTCTCATTAATTTTAAAGTGAAGATTATGATAACCCACAAGTAATGACTCCAGTATTAATTAGCCTATTTGGATTAGTATGCTTACATGAAAAGCATAACTCTGAAGACATTGTAAGCTTCAGAGGTTTTGTAAGGTTTTAGATAGTAATGATTGAATTGTTACCAAACCAATCAGAAGGAATTACTAAAAACCTTAAAAAAAAAAAAACATATAAAAACCTCAAATGCTTACAATGACTTCAGTAATTACAAGGGAGTTGTAATCATGCTTTTCAATTCAAATGAATGATTCCTTCTGAAGGAAACATGAGTCATGACCTTCACTTTAGAATTAATTATACCAGTGGCGGCTGCTGGTCTTTCAAAGAGGGGAAGCTCTTCTTTTTTCTTCTTTTTTTTTTAAACTCGACTGTCAGGTGTGGGGATGGTGAAAAGAGCGAGGACTCGATGGGCTTTATTTTATTGATAAAAAAAACAAAAAAAACAAGGGGAATAAATTGGGAGCAAAAAAGGCAGGTAACGAGGGAGGACAGGTGGGGCAAAATAACTAATAATCAGGAAACAAGATGGGAGTCACAATGACAGGAAAGCACATATGGCACAACAAACACATGACAAGCACAAGCCATGTGCTCATACCAAACATGACAAAAACACATGACCAATAAAACAAATTAAAAAGCAATTGTGCTCACACAAAATGAGACCTGAAGAACGATGAGAACACTCATAAGACACGTGTTCACACAGAACATGACAACATGAAAGCACACAGCTAGTTTAAAACACAAGCTACACAGCACAAGACAAAACATGACATGAAAGCACGCGGCCGATGTAAACACAAACCATGTGCTACACAATACACAACACACTGAACAGAGCGAACACGACAAGACAGAACGCTAACGTTACGCATGAGTACGACCATAAGGTCATCCTGTGCACTCACAACCGAAAACAAACACGCGGAGAATGCATGTCCGAATCCCAACACAAAAGTGAAACCAAACTAGACAGATGTGCCGTGATTCAAACACCACGCCCGCACATGTAACAAGACACCTGACATCGACGGAAGAAATGTGGTAATTAGGTTGAACTGTGAAATATCTGATGAAAATTGCAAATACTAAGAAATATGTTACAGTAGTTCGTCTTTCGAGTAAAATACACACAAAATTCGCGACGAGACTGAGCACGAAGTCTTTAAACTAGCTTCCGCGTCAGCGATTTTTTTATTGGGTGAAATCACTGTCAATCAAAAGGAGATGCAATCCTCCAATCATCACGCGGACGCCCGGACGCCAGGCCAGCCCACTTCCCTATTAACCCCAGAGACGCCCGGCGTCCGTGGGCGGGACATAATCGCAGCATTTATCCAATGACCGTCTACTTTAACAGCACTGAAAAAAACTGTTCAAAGCAGCCCCATTGAAGTCAATGGACGCCGAGCTTCAACGGGGAAATGCCATAGGAAAACGCATGCACTGTGACGCGCTACAGGAGGCGCTGCATGAGAAGGAGATCAAGTCAGCCGACCTGCTATTTGTTGCTTATTCTGAACGGACTCGTCTTCGAGATTACCGTGTTCTAACGCATTTTTACTCATTAAAATGGTAACACAATAGTACACATTTGATCATTATTTGTTTGACATTATAGGGGAAGCTGGGCTTCCCTTGCAGTCTTAAAGAAATCTCCACTGAATTATACATAATGCAAAATTATTCACATTAATTATGGACCTGTATGTTCAAAAACATAGCAGTTACTGATTAGCTAATAGTGAACTACCACATTCAACTGAGCACTATTACTAATTCGTTACGTTTTTTGTTACTTAATAGAATGCTAATAGCGCGCTACTCAAATGTTCCTGTGTAGTTATTCATTAATGATCGAGTATTCCTGAAAAGTGCTGATTACTGTTTGTAAGTTATAAAATAATAACTGCTTTCAAGTTCCTAATGGATTTTTAGTACTTTTACAGTCTAATTAAAATTTTGAAACCATTGTTTATATCTGTATGATGGGTGCTGCACTTCCTTTTTAAGGTCCATATTAAAAATGAGCACCCCCTGCTGGCAGGGGATTATGTTCTGGGCTATTACAGCACCAACATGCAAACCCTCATCGCCTTTAGTCCAACTTTCCAGGTTAGTTTCCGCAAACACACACACAGACCTCAGTTAACGTTATGCTATACCTCTTTTCTCACCTGCTTTGCGTCTGGGTTCAGATTCTAGAGTCTAAACGAGCTGTAAAGGTTCCTGAGAACATCAACGGACATGAGAAATAACTGGAATCTTCCAACCTGTGGGGCGTATGTAAAAACAGCAGGAGGTTTGATCTTTCTCCTTGTGTGAACAGACTTTGTTCAGTTTGGTTTTGAAAGGTAGAGCTGATTCTGAAACAGTCTGATATGAGTGTGGTTGAAAACTGAAGTCTTTGAAATTTTTTAACACCAGTTTAGTCACACTGCTCTTTACTTGTCTGTGGCTGAATTTGTTGTACAAGCTCCTGTAAACACGCACACATATTATCCCAGTTCTCATCCCATGGCGTCATATACTGACGCTTTTGACAATGTGTTTACATCCAATGCACATGACACCCTTTAGCGTCAATATGAGGCAGATATATATGGGCCAGAAGGCGCCTCCTAGTGGTCTAACCCTACCCCCCAGACCTAAACCTACCCAGAACCGAAGTGTGTTATTGACACTAAAGGGTGCCATGTGTGTTGGATATATACAGATTGTCAAAAGCGTCAGTATATGACACTCAAGGATGAGAATGCGTTGATTATTATTAGATCGTAATAATGTTATTATTAGATAGTACTAATAATGTAGAACTAGTAAGAATGTTACATAATTTCATGCCAAAATCAGCAGATAAATTGTGAAAATGTACTATTATTTTACAGTATATTAAGTTCTACAAAATACAATTATACATTTTGTATCATACATTAATGTTGCATTCATTTTGGGTTCAGTACATTAGTTTTATCGTACATTGGTGAACTGTACAGTTCTTTATACAGCGTTTCATTGTATGTCTTACAGTGTGTGCCTTATGTTAGTGTGTGGATTTTCAGTGCCTATATAACAAAAAAGTATCACCATCCGATTGTTCAAATGCCATTATGTTTAAGCTCTGTCCCTCTTATAATAGTGTTAAATAGGCTATATAATCTGTTCTCTTAGTTCAGTTAGTGTAACTGACTATATTTATGGAAATGGAACGAGTTGATTTGACCCTTTATGATTTGTTAAAAAATATTATGTTTTTTTGTAATCAAGCAGTTGAACACAACAATGTAATTGGGATTGCAAGCAATTTCATTAAAATATGAAGGTCTGATTATCTGTCTGCCTCATAGACTAACATTGTAAATGTAATCTGTTTCAATAGTTTGAGATAACTGGTTGTTAACCTGGAATATTCCTTTAAGGTGTTTTGAGTCTTAATTACATAGCTCACATTAATCAATGGGATGTTAATCATTATTTTGTGTCAGCCAACAAACAATCTCTTCAATCCACACTGCCCATTCAAAAATATGTTTGGCAATACTTATTTTAATTGATGGAGTGTGTATAGATTTTCATTTCTTAAACAACCATGTAGGAAGACCCATCATGGCCATATTCCAAGATGACAAAGCTGAGATTCATTAGTCTTAAATTGTGAAAGAATGTTTGGGAGGGAACATTTTTACACATCTGAATCCAGACCTTAAATTAAACGCCATGAGCATAACGAGGCGCTGAGCGTTTTTTTTTTTTTTTTTTTTCACGCTGAAGCGCCGAGCACCCCATCGTTTTTACTGGTCGCCGAGAGTTGAAAAATGTTCAACTTTGGATAAAACGCAGCGCTCATCACTGTCACTTTTTACCCAGCCATCCAATCACAGTGGAGGAGGGGCGGGACTAAACCACACTGACCAACTGTCACAACATTCTTTCTGCACAACGACATCAACCAACAGAGCTAACCAAACAAAATGGATGAAAAATTATTTTTTTAGTACGAAACAAATTTTCTGCGAAATCAGTTACAAGTAAACTGTGCTGTGGATATTCTGTATCATAGCAACAACACTCTCAAACGCTCTCAAGCACCCAAAGCTTTTCAGCTGGATAAAAACGCTTTGGTGGACACACGGCATTAGTGTATATCCCCTCACAGTTGTTTTTTAATGTTTATTTGACCAACCTGGTTGCTTTTTGTGGACGCAATGAACTCCACTATAACAAGGACAAGAATGTCTTAAATATTGATATATTGTCTTATTAAAGTTTAAACGCTTAGGCTGAGAGCTCCGGCAAAATTAAAGTGCAGCAACAGATTAAACTGAAGCAATTTAATTAAACGCATTAAGGGAAAAAATGTTAATTAGAGTAATTAGATGGGAATTTTGTCTCCTGTTGTGTCAGAACAGCTGCTTAGACCTCACACTCAAGGGATCGGTTACAAGGGAATTCTTCCCTGGAGAGGACACTAGATTTCTGCGAGGCCCAGGGGATTCATATTCGCTACCACATCCGACTGGCCCATGATGTCACCCGGCGCTGTAAAACTTTTTAATGGCCCACTAAATCAGAATCATGGATTGGAGGCATTTAAGGCTAAGCGAAGGCAGGATAAGGTTATGAGGGGAAAGAGGAAAAGCAGGATGAATAGAGAGATGGAGAGACAGAGAGAGAGAGAGCGAGCAGAATGACCTTGCTGATGTCATAACACAAGCATTCTAACAAAATGCCTCTAGAATTAATGTTCACAACAACACTTTAAAATCTCTTGTTGTTGTAATGCATAAACCTCTAAAACATGGGTGTCCACTGTCCTGAGATCAGCTCCAACCCTAAATAAACACTTCAAGATCAAGGTCTTACAAGGCATACTAGAAACTTACAAGCATGGTGTCTTGCGGAAAGTTGGAGCTCAATTTTGCAGGACGGTGAAATTCTAGAAACGAGTTTAGTTACCCCTATTCTAAAATTTCAATAACCATCATTTCAGTAAAACAAAACAACAACAACAACAAAAACATTATGAAAACAGATTAAATAAAAATTCTTTCAACATTTGGTCACCCATAGGCCATGTGTCCACCAAAGCATTTTTCCACGCGCCTGGCGTACGTTTTCAATGGGAACGCTGCGTTTTTTTAAACGCCACGAGCGTAACGAGGCGCTGAGCATTTTTTTCCACACTGAAGCACCGGTCGCCGAGAGTTGAAAAATTTTCAACTTTGGATAAAACGCAGTGCTCATCACTGTCACTTTTTACCCACCCGTCCAATCACAGTTGACGAGGGGCGGGACTAAACCACACCGACCAACTGTCACAACATTTTTTTTTTACAACGACATCAACCAGCAGAGCTAACCCAACAAAATGGATGAAAAATGAATTTTTAGTATGAAACAAATTATCTGCGAAATCAGTAAACTGTGCTGCGGATATTCTGTATCATGGCAACGAAACGTCTCAACGGAAAAAAAACGCTACGCTGCCAAAACGCTCTCAAGCGCACAAAGCACGGCGTCTTCAGCAGAGCGTCTAGCATTTTCAGCTGGCAAAAAACGCTTTGGTGGACACACCGCCTTAGACAGTTTCGAATTCAATTAATGATTATTCTGTGGAACCAAAATGACATGGCAAAATATCCATAAAATGTAATGAAAGTGGATGGGGATCCATCGGGACTCAGAGACAACCAACTTTCGTTGCAAGGAGAAGAGCAGCATGGACACTTTGTTACTTAACTCCTTTTGTACTCCACGGAACAAAAAAAAGTCACACTGGAACTATATCTTTAAATGAGGAGTAAAACCATGAGACAATAAGTGTTTGCTAGTGAATATATGCAGATATAGAGTTGCACAGGATTCTGGGATATGATGCAAGATCCAGCTTCATTTACTTGCACACTCCTGAAAGTCTGAAATCAATGTCTTCATTTGCCAGAATCAAAGCAGTTCTGCAAGGAATGTAGATCTAGAAAGAAATAGAAAAAAAAAAAAAAAAAATTAAATACACAAACAAACATCAGCGCACATCAACTACCATCCAATGGGGTTGATTGTGATAAGATGTTTTCGGTTTATTTAGCGCTGCCTGACTGTCATCAAATCATCTGAGATGTTACAACCAGGTGGAAATGGGCTCGGTTTCCAACGCATTCTCACCCTAAGGCGTCACCTTTGACCATGCTTCAATATTTGACGTTTTAGGCGCCCTTTAGCGTCACTTACATGACGCGATCCTACGGCGTCATCTAACTGACGCTAAAGGAAAGCGTCAGTTAGAGGACGCGGTTAGGTTTAGGTGTGGGGTGGGGGTAGGGTACACGCGATCCTAGGGCGTCATCTTACTGACGCTAGCCTAAAGGGCGCCTAAAGCGTCAGAAATTGAAGCATGTCCAAATGCTTCCCAAGGCGTCAGTTAAGTGACGCCTTGGGGGTGAGAATGGGCTGCGGTTTCAGGTTTCTGACCGTATGTGAAAGTCCAAGAATAAGCAAATCCATGTCTTAAAGTGTTGAGGATATTGGCTGCTCAGATAAACAATTCACATGCATGGCTATATACCAGCTGAGCTGAAAAAAAAAGAGGGCAAAACAATATTTCTCCAGGGAGAAAAGCTTGAAAGCAAGTTATTGCGCTGTTAAAATGAGCTCTAATCTGCTGTGTAAAAACAATTCTTTATGTAACCTGGGAGTACCTTGCAATACAGTTTTTATTAGTGAAATCACTGTTCTTTGACCTCACTTCATACAGCAGGACATGAGACTACAGGTCTGGGATCAGTCCAGCGGGATATGAGAAGTGATTGGGTCCGGGCGTCGACATGCCGACAAGAACGACTTGTTTCTCTCAGAGGAAAAAAGGAATATATAAAGCAGAGAATATATCGTGCGAAAGTTCTCATGAATAAAACATTGTGTGTAGGGAGAGGAAACAGAGTCATTGATGTAGGTCAGGTTCTGGTTGATTTCCACAGGGAGCAGACATGAGGTTTATTACCAGGGCCTGCACTCACCTGCTGGAACTGGACCTGAGCTCCCAGCGTGACGACGCTGCCGCGACTACAAACAGAAAATCACTGTTTTAATACCAGAAGCTTCTATTGAAGCCTTCGGAAATGAGATGTCAGAGTCTGTGTGTGGTCTCACAAAGTGGTTTGTCTGTTGAGAGACTTTTCAGTGGGTTTTATCGAATAAGGAATAATAAGATTGAGCATCATTGACAGGTCAGGAGACCTCAGCACGGTACCTTTCTCTGTGTAATAAAGTAAATATATATATATATATATATATATATAGGTTCAATCAATAATGAATAAATATATAAATATTAACTTTAACAAATAATACAATTAAGAGTAGTAAATAATTCAGAAAACGATTCATATTAAATAAAAAATAATTAAATTATAAAAGATATGTTCAACCAATAATGAATACATTTAACCAATAATAAAATGAAAAATAACCAATAATAATCCAATACTGAAAGTTCACTTCAACAAAATGCATATTATCATACGTCGAGTTTAACTTCAGCGACTCGGCTACTGCTGTGTCTTTTTCATAATGAAATCTGAATTAAATCTCATAAG